GTGTGTGTTCTTTTATTAGTTTATTTTGAAATTCAACCATTAATTCATAGGTTATTTATATTTTAAAGCCAAACAAGATATGGAATCAATTGAATATTTTTTATTCAATGCTTCACTTTTTTCAAATTAATTAAAGTCCTACTCTGATTTTTTATTATTTATTTACCACAATTGAATTAAATCACAAATGAAAACAAAACGCATTTGACCGGAGTTATATACTTTTCAATATAGTACTTCACGAGGGCATGAAAACCAAAATCAAAGTGGTTGTTATTGAAGATTCACTACTCTTAAAGCGTGATTCGGTGCAATTCTGAGACTCATAATGACGCTGATCTTTCAAAGTGAAGCGAGGTGGGGTCAAATTTGTAGCAAATGTTGTCTTTCAATTGATAACTTTTATCTCAATCTTCGCTATCAAAAACTAATTCAAATTTGCTTCTTTTCAGACAAAAAAGTTCAATTTTAATTTTGGAAAATGTGTGATATTTTTACCATGAAATTTTTACTCACCGCAATTTATATCAAGCAAGATAGCTGTCTGCCAATAATAAAGAAGGTTTTTTTATGATTGTCTTAAGGTAAAAGCACATTTTAATTTCATTACTTAATTAATAAATCATATAATTCAAATGTGCCATACTAAGATACCTTGTGTAAATCAAACACCCTTTAATAATTGAGATTATAAATTTTCATATGAGTTCTTAGATGGAGTTGACATTTTTGAGGCTTAGCTTTGGAACGCATAATACCAAATAACCTGATTTTATCAAAAATAATATTAACCAACAATGGAACCAACAATATTAAACATTCTTCAAATTATTAAAAAAAATCATTTGGAGAAAATTTTTCAAGTCAAATTTATCTGACTATAGATTTCTGTCGTTGTGTGGTATTTTTTGGCCCTTTGCATATTATGAAATTTACGATCAATAATATTTTCAGATTATTTTTGCAAATAATCATAGTTGAAATAATTTATTCGTCACGATTCTTCATCATTGTTAGTATGCATTGTTTTGTTGGCTTTTGTGTATGAATATTGAAATCGCGCTAACCTCACCCATATAATAGTTTGCACTTTTGAATGCAACAAACACAGTGATGTAAACCTTAAAGACAACAAAACACTTCACAATTTTAAAAATTCAAGACTACATTGGGAAAATATCAATCACACTTTTGGAAATTAATCAAGAGTGAAGATAAATTAGTGAAAGGAGTTAGCTCCTTTGTTCATTTCATAACGTCTATTTTTAATTCGGCCACTAAGCACATTTTTACTCAATTTATTGAAAATTAATTTACTAACTAGTGAAAGGTTACTGGGGAAATTTTTCTTCAGTCGAAGGCAATTACCCATTGTTGATTTTGAAATTGATCGATTTCATATTCATTATCCTTGTGCAATACTTTGAACAGTGCAATTTTTTAGAGTTTAAAACACTTTAAGGGCTCTTTAGATTATACTTTAGTATAAGTAAAAAATATCGAGAAATTTTCAAATTTTTCATAAAATCTCATTTGAAAAACAAATTTAGTTTTTTAAACGACAAATTACTTTAAAATTTTGAAATTACAGTTTATCTTTACTGTGTTCTAATATGACCCGCTAAATTAAATTTAGTATGAATATTACCTATCCTTTTCGGTTTCATTAGGACGAAACATGCGACTTGAAACAATTTACCAATTTGCTCTTCAAACAATAGAAGTCTGTCTGTGACCAAGACTATTAAAATGTCGGCAATTTGCGTGTTTTGGATAAATAAAATTAAACAGACACTAATGCTTCGACGAAAGCATTTCAACGCTATGTTGTTAAATTCAAAAAGTTATTATTTTTGAAAATTCGCCATTTTTGAATATATTGCGTGTTTTTTGTCAGAAATTTTACCATAATATTGCGAAATGATTTTACGTTGCCATTTGCAAAATCTGTCGCCCGCTCCGATAAAACTCTGTGAGCTAAAAATAGATGGGAAAAAATAGGCTTTTATTTCCTCTGCGTGCTCTCATTAGCGGACACCAAGTCCTGATCACAGGCCTATTTTTAGACTGCTTATTACAATAGAATGGTTAGAATGAAAAATCTGTTTATTTTGCGAATACGTTTTACATTTGTTATGGCTTAGAGCAAATAGAGACTTTATGTCAAAGACAAAGTTAGATGGGAACTTTACTATTGACTTGAACCAAACATACCATACTAATAACTCTTATTTATTATGGTAGCGCTTTCTTTTGCTTATTTCACGTATTTACTAAGCTTTTCAGAAATACCCGATGACGAAATTTGGACTAAAATAATTGTTGAGGTTATGGGTCGTCGTTATCAAAATAACCTTTTCTAGACTCAATTATTGGAGGACAATTAGACTCGAAAAATGGAAAAATAATTTAGTGAGAGATGAAACGCTAGGCAGTGTCTAATGAAGGGGAAGTAACAAGACCTCCACTTTATTTACTTTCATAAGTTTATTTTATTTTTACTCACGAAAAACCTAGAAACGTCATTTCCATCACAGAATATCTGAATTATTCAAGGAAATGTCTCAACAACGTTGAGAAATGAGCTTGTTGATGTCCTGACAATTGTCATTAAGCGTTTGTGGATTTATTACACAACGATTAAATAGCGTTTTCTACCTTATTATTCATGATTTTTCCTTCAGTTGCTCAGATTATTTTTAGATAAATATTTATGCCATCGAATCTTTATTTAACTCGCACTAATTAAATATTTTCTGTACATCGTTTCACTATCCTACTAAGCCTAATTTCATTGAATGTACCTGAATAGTAATTTCCATCCTTCTTTGAGTTTAAGACATGCAATCTAAATCCTTTTTACTAACTTGAATCAACCCGAAATATTACAACACCGGCTGTCCTTGAATTACCTTAAAAGTACATATATTGCCACTCTTCTAGCATGACCGGCAATCTTTAACACATGTGTCCTTTCCTCTCATTGTTTATCATCCTCTGATGAACTAAAAAATATGCCAAAGTAAACTAGCTCTCTATTTTAGTAATAATAAGGTCCAACAATTTCTCAAACTTTCCTCTCAAGGAATTAATTATGTAAGCACTTAGATTTAGATTCACCTACGCGCACAACACTGTTATTTTGGAACAGTTTTGTTCATTATTGATAAGCATAGCAAAATAAGAGTTTATATTCGTGTCAATTTTATGATCGAATTGTAAAAAAACCGCATCACTTTGGAAAGATGTGAAGATTAATTAGCCAATCATATATGCCCCGATGTTAGGATTTGAGTCTGATTAATTCCGCAGATTGCACTCTATTTTGCACTAATTTTGAGTTCTCGACTTTATATTCAAATTAATGAGAGATTCAGTTTTTCATTTTGAAATGCTTCACTTCAAAAGCGCATTTGTCTTAAGAGGTAAAATATCAAGCAAGCTGATCTCGTTTTGTTAGCAGACAAAAATAGCAAACCGGAACTAAATTTTTGTATTTGAAACATGCTTCCAAACTAACTCTTTACATCGATTTCAAACTGCTTAAAAAATACTGAACGGGGAGTTTTAGCTCATTTTCTAAAGACACTTGTCGACCTTTAGTTTTGCAGACTGGTCTACTTTAAGCAGTTAGCCGTGGTGAATCGTGGGATTTTTAAAACTTAAGAAAACTTGTGCTTCAACGGTAGGTGCATTCTCTGTCACTATAAAATTAGAGGGATTTTTTGTTTTATTTTGAAGGGAAATCTCCATGACAATTTTTTTCTAGTAAGATCAGGCACTGACTGTACAAAAATTCTTAAGTTCGCTTCGATATTTGTTGCCATTAATGCTTTTGATAAAGAGTATGTAAAGAGATGCATGACTGTCAAATTAACCATATTTAATTACAAGTAATTAACGAGGAATTCCTAAACTTCAATATTAATTTATCTCCAAATTCGAATAATTCTTTTCTTTTATAGAAGAGACAAGTAACAATGTAGATTAAAAGCACTGGAGCAATATTAAATATTTGCAATGAGGAAATTAGTCAAAGGAATGTAAATATCATTTAAACATCATATTTAATGGAAACGCTTTTTCGAGATGGGTAGATTTGTTTGAGAGGCCAACTCACTTCTGTGATTGGTATTATCCGTCTATGATTAAATCAGTCTTTTAAACCTACCAACGATTCACCACGATTACTAGAAACTGTTTACTTTATTCGAGTGTTTGAGAGGATAATATTGAAGACTCAACCTTGCATGGTTGAACGTAATTAACTTAAAATGGAATAACTTTTCAAGCGTTTTATTAAATTACTTAGATTTTTAAATCCGTACAAATTTTTCAACCAAACGTAATTTCCTTCCAACTCAGCTCAGAAGAAGGTCGTTTTTTTCAATTGCCTGAAATAATTATTTATCTACATTCTCTTAGTGCTGGTGAATGTGATAAGTCACATGTTTTCAATGCATTCCTTTACTCTCATATCCAATAATATTTCCGAATACCTGTCTAATTTTACATTCTTTTACGGCGACAAGATTTACAAAAGTACCTTAATGAATTAAGCTATACATATCACACAATTTAATATCAATTTGGATAAACCGAAAATTTTTCGATATCCCATTTTGGCCTTTAATTTCTAGCTGATATTTTTTGAGCAGCGTGAAATTTAATTCCATTGTCTTAACCGCTCCTGGAAAAACCAAGCTTAGCAGATAAATCAGCTGTTCTTAATTAAATGATACTAAGCATCGTTGTCATGAAGTTGCTGCGAATCAGGTGACAAACCCTTAAGTATAATTTTCGGAACATATCAACCCCTCACGATATAGATTGCACAACCCGAACTCAAGCATCAGATGAAGCACGACTCCTGACATGAGTCTCTGTGGCTTTGCCATCTCATCTCCTTTACCGCTGTTAGTGTCCCCGTTGTTCAATGCTAATTGCTTTCCGAAGATAAAGATTGTAGCTTTTCGATATTGCTCTGGATATAACGATAAATGCTAACTGTTCTCAAAGTATACGTTATCTTGAGTGTCTTATTCTTAACTTTTAGATAATTATTTCGTGTATAAGGAAAGGTGAACCAGTGGACTGGTCGAATTACAATGTGTACACAGTCGCCAACGTTGCAAAGCGTTTCTTTCTCGATGTTCCCGGAGGGATCCTCGGAGAACACAATGAGCGACGTCTCCTGTTATCCTCAATAACCCCCAGAGAAACTCTTCAGTCCCGGGTTTCTGCTACGTACGAAACTCTCCAACAACGCCTACCAAAAAAGTTAAAACACGCTCCGGGTTTCGAAACGCCCTCCTATGTTGACACTGAAGAACAAGAAAGTGAGAAAATATTTTCCTCCCCTCTTCGTTCTGACAACACGGGACTGCTCTGCGATTTCGGAATGCCTCCAATATCACCTACTGAAAGGGAAAAACTAGACCTGTTTGCCGAGTAAGTTTAAGATAAATATGGTCAAATATGAAGGCGATTTGGCGCATTAATTGCCGTCGGCAAAGTTGGTAGTCATGGGTTTGATGTCCATAGGTACTTACGCAATGGGCGATGCGATTAGTCGCACGGGACAAGTATGAAAAATTAAAGAGCTGAACAATTTTGAAATTCCTATCAATAACGAACCGTGATATTATATCTTTACTCACGATTAGTTCTGAAAGTGCTTCAATTGAATGGACTTGGTTTTATGATGCATTACAGGTTTATATGACCGAAAAATATGTTAATTAAATGCTTAGACTTATTCAGGAAGTTATTTAAAATTTTAATAATTTACTGTTTAATTCTAAATTAATAAACCCAGACCAATTTAAATAGTTTTGGCGAAGTTAGTGAGTACAGTCCAATTAATGCTTAAAATGCGTTTCAAAGACCCTTTTGATGACAATTCAAAACTAATACAGAAGTTAGAACATTAACTTAACAAAATCATTTAGGTTAAGTGATTTTAAGTTATAAATATTGGGTGATGAAACACTATATATTTCTTACGTTTACTTAAGTTATTCATTCCTGAAGCAAGTAAAAGATTATAAACGACCATAAAAGAAACCAGAAAATGAAGGAAACATTTATTCCTACTATTAATAAATTATGAGCAATTAGATGTAGCAACTCTAGTACTCTAGCACATCGTTCACAAGCTTTCAAGTACTCGTAAAGGGGATTAGATCTTAGCAATACTAACTAATCAGATAACTGTTTTAGCAACTAGAGGATGTCGGTCACGTTTGTGTATTCCCATATCGCGTTAAAAATTTCACGCTTTCTCACTATGTGAAAGTGTTGGAATACTGTGACTGTGGAGTTGGGAAAAAATGCATACCATCAAAGAAGTCTCGCGAAGACTTTCCTCATGGAATTCGGTTTAGTCACGTATATTGCCTCTTGTTCTGATGACTAGAGTTCAGGATTTGCCTCCTGTTTCTTTAGATGAGCCTAGTGACCAGTTACTGGGCTTAAATGTTTAGTCAATTGATTCAAATGCATATCTTAAGGGATCATAACAACTTTAACTCCAACGGGCTTAAAGCAGTATCATACCACTTTCGTATTGGTGGCCTGAATAATACCTGATTGATTCCACTTAGTATGATCAAATTTCGATAAGTTTATAATGAGGGGACATCCAATCACAAAAAAGGGAAAGTCAAATTTGATTCTGCACGGTCTCATTTTAGGCGATGTGACTTTTTAGGAATGAGAGTAGGGAATCATAAATGCTCTACTATATATAGATTTCAAAACTGGTTCCATTACATTCTTATCTTCTTCTAAATCGGAAATTCGGATCGCAAGATTTTGAGTGATTTTGCAGCCATCTTTTTTCCATAGACTTCCACTAAATTAAAGCTCCTTCCACTGACGCATCCTCATTATGCTCCTTTTCACCCCATTTGCATTCTCACAAGATGACGCCGACTGTTCAACCATTTAATTTCTGCATTACATGCTCCTTCTAGTGCCTGCTTTCCCTTCCTTCACACAGCGGGATTCACGTTGTCAGATGGCATGATGAGTCATTCTGAAAAGGAGGCAACAAATACGTTCATTTAGTGCGCTTTTGAAGGAGAAAATATTTCTGGCATTTCTGAAGTATGACTGTAGAGAATAATGACTTTGAGATTCAGTAATTTTGGTACCCGGAAATTTTTGAAGGAAGAACGAACAAATCCTACAAAATAATGTCGTCTACAACTCCAATGCAAAGGAGGTGATAGAGCAGTATAACTAAACTAATTGAACTTTAAATGGAAAAGTAGTTAACCTAATTAACCTGAAGTTCAAATTGAGTAATGCCATCCTCATTCCTTAAATCTCACCCTAATCACCCCCCTCACATTTAATCTATCTTTCTTTCCTCCGTGTTCTGATACCCCCCATCATGAATTAATTTTGAAAACCTTTTAATGCTTTGACTTATGAATAGGGAAAATTAGTAGTGAAATTTCTTGGATACAACCGTAGAGGATGTTGGCATTTATTCATCTATAATGAATGCCTACTGTTTTCTAATTTTCCAAAATGTCTCACTTTGTTGAGACTTCATTTAAATATATTTTAAACCAAATTGATAGGATAGCTGCTATGGTTATAGTATTCAGTGGATCATTTGCAGTCTTTAAAATCAACAGGATTCAGTGAATAATCGTGCTTGATTTTCAGCCACCGAGTTTTATCTAGGAACTGAAGGAAGAAAATGAAATGGAAAAGATTTTGGAGAAAAGGGACAAACCCTGGAGAAAATCTTTTCATTGTTCCTATCACTTTCTCAGGCTAGTACTAACTTCAACCTTAACAATAAATTTACTTCACAACCAAAGTGCTGTTATGAATGACTCTTTAATATCAAATAATTCATTATAAGTTATGTTCAAACTTTAACTGCCAAATTTAACAAATAAATTACTCACTCACTTTTAATGGCCTGGAAATGTAATGGTGTTTATTTTGTCCTTTTCAGAATATTGGATACGTTGCCCGAATGCTGTCGTGAGGTAACGGTCATCTTTTTAGGCATACTTCACAGCATGGTGCGTTATGCTGGTTTTGAAGTAACTAAAAATTATCAGGAGTCCACTGCTGCACCTACGTCAATACTGTATGCTCGCCTTTCGAACGCTACACCCCCACCACCACCAATCAGAACGCTGGCTGAAGCGGTGTCGAAATCTGTGGCCGGTGCCCTTCTCCATACATGTCCAATTTCAGTTGAAATGGTTGATAGGGCGTCGCAAGTTAGTTAAGGATGGATTTGAATATTATTTAATTCATTTCCTCCTTATCAAGTGGAAATTATACGCTCTTCTTAAAAGCTTAGTGTTTCCTTACCAAAGCAGTGCCGTTTTCTTTTATATATTGAGAAATAACGCAGCCTGTCACCTTCTAGAAAGACATCTGTTTTCAATTTGATATTTCACTAAATAGATAGGAAGTCCTAAATTTGTTGGCTACTTTTGAGTGCTTGATGTGATCAAGGCAACAAATTGGCCACTTTGAAGATAGGACATTTCTGCGAAACACGCTAGTAGACTAATATCGTTTACTCAGATAAGATCAGTTACTTCAATTATTAACTTTATAGAACTTGGTGAAGCGGTCTATTCCCTATGTAATACATAGCAAGCTATAAAGTTAAAAGAGTCTATTCTCTAAATGTAATTAATTAAATACCACATATATGGCCTTATAATTTTCTATAAATAGACTCAATATTCATAAAGGATGAATATAAATAATCCAATTCATTTTAAACATATTAATTCACAAATAAACCATATATTAACTGGCAAAACATGATTAAAGACCAGCAAATATATTGAAAGATGATTCCTTTGATATAAGCTCAGTAAAAAGGAATTTCTAACTTAAAAGGTGAAAATCGCAGTAAACAGCAATATTTTTTTGCAGATATTTTTATTTGAAGGGTTTAACTTATACAGTGAGATAGTCTTCCCAAAGGGTGACAAAAATCGTGTCTCCTATGTAAATAACTGGAGGCCTTTAATAAAATTCAGTAGCAAGTGGTCTGTCTTGGTAGTGAATAAAGATCTAGAATGAAAAGATAGCCTCCCTGTGAGAATGCAGGTGCATTATCTGTACTGCAGTGATAAATCAAAACATTCTGCCTAATAAAGTTATTTAATTTTAATTATAAAAGCAAAGAATTTTATTTCTTTGTTGCAAAATTAGTTGCTTATCTATAAATTATCAAATATTAAATATTATTTATAATTAATTAAAGTTGTAAAAATTGGAACTAATTTCGAGTTTATTTGGCCTATTGGTTACGTTAAAAATTCGGTAGGATAAACTCCCTCACCACATGTAAATTCCTTCATCTCCTCTCTCTTATCTTTCGATGTTTTCAAGAAATTATTATTTCATCCGAAAGCCTAGGTGAAAGGTGTTAAGTTAACTGTTTTAACAAATTGTTCCTACATATGTATTACTAATTGGGAAGGTATATTGCAACAATTTGACGAAGGACTCATCTTCTACTGTCCCATTTGTAAACCATCATTTACCACCGTAGTTGGCCGTTCACATCACTTAGTATACAACACTTGGCATCAATCTTGCAAGCGCCTTGGTACCTTAACTACTTCTCTTTGAATAGGTCAACACAGGGGCGTGCTTTTTTGCAATCTGAAATCTACTTTTAGGCAAGTAATTTTGGACACCGTGAAACACTAATATGAAAGAAAATGTTATCTTTAGATATGCGAGATTCATCCTACGACAATAAAGTTATATATTTCAACAATTTATTTATTCGTCTTCTACCCATACATGAGCATTCTAGCATATATAGCTTCCATTCATCTGATAGAGAAAGACGCCTTGCTTAGAGATATTCACTTGCTTGAAGAAGCCTATACTCTCATCGTCTTGAAATGCCAATAATTAAAAAAATTAAAATTTACATGTTAAAAATTTATCTATTTTAACATCCTCATTAAAATAAATAAGCATAAAGCAGAGATTTTAACGAATGTTGATAGCCAATTTGTTTGAATATTATTCTTTAATTACCCAAGCAGATATTCAGTAGGTTCTTTCCGCATTTTTGATAAAGCCACTCCACATTTCCAGTCTGGTTATTTTCCCATAAACAGCTTGGAATTAATCATGCAATTAATTTATGTCTCTATCTAAACCTCACTCCCTCACCACCTAAGTAGAACACACACACACGCACATACACAAGCAGAAACAAGGAAGGCGCTTAAAATAGCGCCAACTATATTTAGCCCCCTTCCTGGAGACTTTTGGTTAAGAGAACAAGACAGATAGGGGAATTAAAATTTAGTCATTGTAATGGAAATATTTTACAAATTTTATGATTCTGATTCACCTATATATATATATCCATAGAGATCGCTTTAAGTAATTCAATTTACCATTTAGTCTGAGTTCGGATTGGTGCAAGAAACTCCTAGCAAAATGGCAAATGTAATATATATCAAAATAACTCATGTCATATCCTTCTCACATTCATGTTCATTGAATTAATCAAAAGGGGTGCTGCTTCTAAATTATTTTCATTTTCGTAATAAATCAAAATTTTTGTTAGTGACACTACTATAGTGAATTGAAGGGAATGTATTCTTAATTTTATTGAAAGTGAAAGTGAAATCATACTTATTTGGTGAGCGTTGTCTCACATGGGAAATATAATATATTCTTCGTTCTTCAAGAGACATCGTAATTCAAAGGAGTAAAATAGGTGTGACGGGATGAAATATACTCTTATGAAGAATCTTTCACCAATAAGCAGAATTTTCATTTTTGCAAAGCACGCCACTTTGAAATGTTTTCATTAGTGAAAAATGTGTAAAATTGATTGAAGGTTATTTGACGCAGTTTGTGCTACTTCTCTTCTTAACTTTAAATTACAACTTCCAAACACTGGCGTTATACCATGGAGAAGTGATCTATTTGTTTAGATTGATTAACAAATACGCACTCTTTAAAATTACATTGGGCGAAAAATTCGCTTGAGAATGTATTTGTTTTGATGTCATTATATCCGTTAATGTTTTTATATTTATCAAAAAATGTTAAAAAATATAGGCTTAAAGCAAATTGGAATGTAATTGGTTATGTATACATATCCATTTCACATTTTAGAAGTAAATAGAAAAATTGGCTTATCAATCTCTAGTGTAATGAATGCTCCAACAATTGTTAAAATATATATTAAATTTCTTATTTTGCTTCATAGTAAGAGCATAAATGATGCTTATAAGGCCATAGCATAGACCAGAATTACAAATCATCAATCAAAATTCTTATCGAAGAAAATAAGTTTCCCTGTAAAATAGAGTCTTTAATCTTAAATTTACGTGAAGGAGAAATGGGCTATTCTTTTATTTCACCTATGCGTTCGCTCAAACTAAGAACGCTAGTTACATATAGCCGCTCAAGTGGCGAAATTGTAGTTGCTGTATGTCAACCATCGATTTTCCACTCTCCACTGACAGTGCCCTCTGCCTCTTCATCGTATTATGTGTCTAATTATTATCATAGCTCATGCATTCTTTTTCCACCCTCAAATTCTAATTGTTACTCTTCAATAAATCCTGGTTCGCCTTCTAATCTATTGATAACCGGTAACTGCTTGTCTGCTTTTGTTTTTAAAGTTCGTACTCTTATCTTTCAACGAGTTGAAATGTTTTGAATAGAAAGCTAAAATGTATTTAAATCTGTACGCGATGGTAAAACTGGCTGGTGACAGTGATCCTGACTTCATCTCAAATTAAACTGCTTTGTGTTTTAATCTGCAATTTCTAAGCTTATTATCTGTAGAAGTGAATATTTTTAGAATTTATATAACAATAGGATATCGCTATTCTGTTCCTTATTCATCATTGTAACTTGATTCTAGTAATGTCTTTGCTCCGTTTAATTTGCTTGTGTGCATCATTCTTAAAGGCAGTGCTACACTTTACATTTTATCCAAGCTGATATGGGGAAAATCAAATGTGCTTAATCCTGATAAAACATTCATGAAATTTATTACTAACTCCTCATTATATTTGTAAATAGAGCATAATCTCTTCTAAATTCCTAACTAGCCAGATGTAAATTCTAATCCACCCCATAACTCATAGTTGCGTATAAATAAAGTTGTCATTGGGCCTTAACTCTTCATCATTTTCATTGCACTCTTATCTACTTTTCTTACAGTATACTTAGCTAAGTGGTTTAGCACACACCAATGCCAACACAAATTTGCATTTTAAATAATTTCGATTTTGCAATAAAATTTCGCGCTCAACGTAAGATAATTTTGATTTCAACCATACTAGCAAATTCGAATTTCCTAGCCTAACAATGACTGCTAACCCCATTTATTTTAAATCAGATAGTGCTGCGTTGAATAAGTTCTTTCCTAGGTTAATGACATCGGAGCCTACTTCAAAATCATTCAGTCGGCTTCATTCAGAAAATGAATGGGTAAAGTGCGTGTCTGAAATAAATGAATTTTCCTTGAACTGACATAATATGATTATAATATTTAAAGAGATTTGAAATGAATTTTATGAACTATTTTGCCACCAAAATAGGGAATCAATAAATGCAACAAAATGAGATTACAACAGAATTAATTATATACTCAATTGTTTCTATCTCTCTCTCCCCATCTTTTATTTTTCCCTACTAAATTAGCCTGTCAGAGATTTGGCAGAAAAGAGGAGTGATCGGTGAGTAGCATACTCCAATTTGTTCTTGAGCTCTAAAATGGAAAGATGTCGAGGGAATGACACAACAAACCACTTAACTCAATTTATTGGCAAAGAATTCTGAATTACGAGAGCCAGTCATTCACGTTTTTACCGAAATAAATTAAGAGGGCTAAGACTGATTATACAAATTTTCAAATGATGCAAGATTACCTGGTCCTCTGGCTTCGTTTTCTTATTTAACTTTCAACTGTTTTAATCCCTATTGGCTCCTTTTAAATTCTTTCTTTAGCTTAAGTTATTTCCCAGTAATGAAAGTCATTAATTGTTAATTTGATAGGTGATTAATTGAAAACTTAATTCGAATTAACCCAAAGGCCATTGTAAATTATTATTATTATATTCATGCTTGGTGTTTTTCCTTAAATTAAGGTGATGCAAACTCTGATACTCCGATTCTCTCAGTTGGGAGAAGCAGTAACCTTCCATTACACTGACCTCCTCCTCGGCCGTGTGTGCACGAGGACCCCAGAAATCTATCTTACACAAATTCAAGTCCTCGAATATTTCACTGTCCCACCAATCTCTGGTGCCAAGGCACAAAAGCTCAAATACACGAAGTATTCTCAGAAAGGACAAGGTTGGTTTCATCAATTAATAGGAATTTCGAGTTATATTTGAATGTGGAATTAAACAGAGTTTGAATGCTTCTATTTAAAAACAACCCTCATGCGTACACATGAAGGGTTAAGCAGATTCCTATAAATCTTTAAATACAGTTTAGGATGACTCCTTCGAAGTTAATTTTATTTAGAAGTCTATATGCTTTGGCACTACATCACCTGTGTTTGAAGGCTCAATATGCCCTCCAAACTAAAATGTAAACAAAGTAAGTTTTAATCATGAGGTAGTACAGAACACTCCAGTACCCAGTATCAAATGGGACCGAGATCGGAAAGAGGGAATAGGAAGAGGCCGAAACTTTTGAATGACCATTATTTTTAATTTGTTCAATTCTTTTGGAAAACTACCTTGACCCATATTTGAGACATCCTAATATCTCCTGTCAATTTAGTTGGAAGATTTTCCATACCACTAAGAATCATGTCCATCTCCTCATAGCCACCAACGGGTAGTTCACACTTGCCAAGATGTTTTAAGTGTAGATTTCGTGACTTCTAAATTCGCCCTTAACTTGTCACAATGAAATAGTTATCAAGGAAATCTCAGTTTAATTTGCTTTAATATTTCATGATTTTGATTGTGTTAAAGGTAGGCAACAAATAATGACAGTGCAAATATTTTTTGAATGTAGAGTTGCCCCTTGTATTATTTGTTAAAAGCATTCATTTATTTATTGCATAGGCATTGTTTGCAGTTGTATGAAAGAAATTTTTCATGAAGTTGTACCGTAATTTTAAAGCCATTATTCCGGGAGCAAACCCATTAACATATTCCGTAAATATTTCGTCAAAGCGCCCAAAACGCGTGTACTTTGGTTCATGTCTGAGATTTATCACGTCAAAATATTTAAACATATATATATGTACATATATATGTCTATTTTGTCCATAAAAGTCATTTTCAGCATTAATCCAATAAGCAAGTAACGATTAATATTACTATAGTTCAGATCGAGGGCACCCCAGTGAATTCTGTAAAGTTGCATTCCAACAAGACTTACGTACCTGGTCTAGATTGAAACGAAATCGATGTGGTATGACCATTGAAGGTGCTACATTGATGAGCCAACACAAACTTAATTTCGTGGATATAATCTCGCTCACGATTTAGTTCTACAAATTTTGGCATTGGCTTAAAATGCACTGAACTGCACTTTTTAAGCATCGAAGACCAAGTTAATAACAGCTTTTGATGCCCTTATGTTGGCCTCTTGTTTGCACCATAGTCCTTTGTCCTTTTTTCACTATTAAAGCTTGAAGGCGCTCCACTGGTATCCACCTTAAAGGTGGCACTTACTGACATCAAGCAAAAATTACCAATGAATCCTAAACGTCATCCTATGAACCTTACATCTTGGTTTATGAAAGGTTGAATCAATTCAAATCTTTGTTCAGAAGAACTCTTTTTTTGCCAGGGTTAAATAAACTTGAATTATTCTTATTCAAAAATTAATTGGGCAAGATATTGTTGATTTGGTTTAAAGTTGGCACATTTTTCAAAATGCTCCAAGCTAAACTTACCACCACTTCATTTGGGCCTTATTATTGAATTCCTAGAATTCGACTAAATTAGGAGGCTAAAAACAATATAACAAGTGCTATAATCGAAAAGCCAAATAGAGTAATAGAACATCTGAAACTCACGTTAATATGATCTTCTTACTTTCCAAGACCAAACTTCCACCTTTCATCCAAATTTGGCTACCGTCACTTCGAAGGCTGCACATCTCTTAATCGAAAAGTGTAGTTGAGTATTTTCTAAACCTCAACATGCAAAGAAGAACAAAAGTGTTGATGTGCAGTGCCAGGGAGTTAACTTAGGGAAAATCATAGTTACTCCAACATTTTAATATTCGATTTTTTGTCGGAGTGCTATCTTATTTGGCTTATTATTTTAAAGAAAATAGGACACATTGCAAATCTAATCATGGCCACATTTATTCCATTTGCGCATTCTAAGATGAACAACTCTATAATTGCTGTGTTTTGAAGGCTTCGGTTATTCATTTATATGCAAAGCTTACTGCACTTTTAACTTTCAATCATTAGTGTTCAAATTGGCCACAGTAGAAACTGGAAGAGGCTCTTAATAGCTCAAGTAAGATATGGTCATAATTACGAGGATTCATTAAATAGTTCACAAAAAAACAAAAGGTTGTCATCACTTTAGATAAAATTCGCTAAAGAGGCATATATTTACCGTCTAATAGAAAAACCTCTCTGTTTTAACCAATGAAGTTGATGTAAAGTTATTCATATTGGTTGAATATCCCTTAAGGTTAGCTTTTTGGAACTTTAAAACTTCACGTTTACTACCTACATTTTTGGTATAGAAGACGATAAATTCGCACTACCTGTAGGAAGAATACTTACAATGGCTTCACGGCTCCTCTGTATCACCCGATCGCGACTGAGTGGGTCTCAGGCGAGAAAATCTACAAGCAATCCCGAAGAAAAAGCATCACCGTCCTCTGTCGCCAACGATCCCCAACAACTATCTCCTCAAACGACAATTCCTACGGAGTCTGCAACGAAATATGCTTCCGAAACATCGACGGGTGATGCTGCTAGGCAAGTGCCGGTCGCAGCAATCGTGGATGAACCCTTAGCGGACGACTCCCAGTGCATCGGAGAAGTAAGCAATTGTTTTACAACACTCCACTTACTAACTATAAGTAGGCATTATATTTTCAAATCGATTATCAACTGCAGGCACATGATTCAACAGCAGAAGAGAATGACGAATCGGTCGGGAAGGACCGAGCTCATATTTTAACAAGATCGTACATTCGACGTTCTCGAAGTCGGTACAGAGCTGTTCACAGACGACAGATGGAAGTAATGCTTCGAAGAACGGCTTGGTTTCTGGGCTCAACTCCAACTCCCACTATTAAGTTACCAATTACTCCTCAGCTATTGGTAACCCCTGAAGAAGTCCCATGTGCTCCCACATCAACACAATCACTGCTTGAGATTGGCATGCCTATAGATATAGAGGAGGAGAGGAAATATCAAGCCGATAGTGAAATAAAGAAATTCCAGGAAATGCTTGGCGTTCCATTCTACCTTAGTCCCCTTCCACGTATTAGCGTAACGAGTATTAGAAGTGCTCCAACTGGACAAGTGTCGCCAATGACTTCACTCCATATAGATTCTGAAAAAGAAGACGACCGTGAAGAATGTATTGAGGAGTCAAGAAGCATTCCACGAACAGAACTATGATGATATGACACTACTTGTGAAGCCTCTTAACCTTCCCAACTGTCTATATTACTTAAATAAGGTTGCATTTCGCCTCTTTTTAGGTCCATACTATTTAAAACAATTTCCTCAATCCTTAAATTCCTTTTGTTGCTTCCTCCCTGTCTCTCTATCTTGCATTGCTTAATCGTATTTCGATTAGCCTTATTCGCTAATTAGTTTACTTGTTGTATAATTGAAATGCTCTGTGTTTTCCTGTTCTAACCTCCTACTTGGTCTTCAACCAGCAATAGCATTTCGTCAATTTTTTCCAGTCCCTCCGTATTCTACTTACTTTGGAATATTTGGCTAGGTGGAAATAAATTTATGTCTCAATCATTGAATTCCTTCTTCCCTTGTCTGACTTTAAGAATCATTGGAGCTATTTTATTCTCTAAAAGGGTAACCAACTTTGGGAAGTGAACAATCAAAGAGGATGTATTGCTTCCAGTTCTGTAGATGTACATCAAACCTAGTCCTTCTTGTAGCTACAGGTTTTGTTGGCTTTATGGAATTAAGAGAGACTGCGTATATATGGGAAAGCGGAGGTGAGGCGCTTTTATAAGTAAAATTCTGGAATGACATCAACAATTTGTTGATATTGATGAAGAAATCAACAGGGCGGAAATAAAATAAGTTAATTTTTTTTAAAACTCTAATGGCATTGACCATTATTTTACCTGACTTTGAAAAAGTTCATTACTGAATTTCTTTTAGCACCTTTTTTTGCAATCGGAAGAAGCACGTGGATAATTATATTGTTATTCTCGATATAACATTTCCAAAATGTAATCCGCAGTGTCATTACTTAAAGGAATCTTTCGAAGCACCTACTTACTTTTGCTTGCCAAGCGTCAACAAAACGTGTTTTAAGCGGTTTGAAGAATTGATAAAAATATGAATCAACATAAATTATCTCAAACTGCTGCCTTAGAAAATGCCGTTGAAGCCATTAGTCCACTTCATGTCTTCGTTATAGCCATGTTTCCAATGAATTCTAAATAACCAGTCAAAAGTATTATGAAATAAATGAAAAGAAAATTTTTTCAAATTCTGGAATTTAAATATTAGTAAAACCCTCCAATTAATGACATGTTTATCGCAAAATAAAGATTTATTGATATTCCCAAAATTAGGTTGCTTTCAAAGCTAAAACAAGTTTAAACTAATCTAGTCACCCATATGGTGAGGAGATTCTGGTTAGCCATCAATATAGCATTTTACCAAGGAATTAAAACTGGGAAGCAGAAAACTTAAAACACTGACGTGGATAAGGAGTTTATATTCATAGAATATTTACCCTTGATTATGCCATTCATTGTTTTAAAAAATCATTTTCGAGTAAATAAACGAAATAATGAGCAACTTTAAGATATGTTGGAAGTTACAAAACTATGTAGCTAGCCTTGCAAACGCATCAGACAGAGATAAGGGGCTCCAGAAGGCATTTTTTGAAATAGGAAATGTTTTAAGGCACAATGGGAAAATTTGAGGAATTTTGGAAAAACTTGAGATATTTAAAAATCTAATTACATTATCATTTTGCTGATATTTACGAAACATATATATTCGTTAAAACAGAGGCCCTAAGAAAAATGGTTTTAAATATGCGAAACTTTCTTCGTCTTTAAATTAAAGAACCTACATCAAATGATATAAATTAAATTCATTGCACTTAAATAAATATATAAAATGATATCCTTCCGTTATTTCAGAATAGTTTTTATGTTTGTTCGCTGGATTCCCAGTGAGGTAATGCTTACAATATTCAGAACTTGCTAATGATTTTGTTTTTGCAATGGTTTGTTTCAGATGTATCTTCTTACTGCCATGAGTGAGTATATGAAAATAGTAGGATAATTTAAACGTGAAGAAATAAATTTTATTATATTATTTGGTGAATTTTAATTTTGTCAGATGAAATTCTTTCCTACTACTAAGATGAATTCGATCCAGTAATTGATTGGCTTATTTCATACATCATGTGAAATAGGCCGGATTACATAGAGTTTTTTTTAATTTGTACATATTTTACATCATTGAAGCATGGTAAGGAATAATATAAAGATCTGTGTCGAATTCAGATACCCAATTTTGTAAAGCCTATTAATTTATAAGCGACTTGGTCAAATTGCTGTTTTAGCGAAATATCTTCAATTGCCCTTAACCGTAGTATAATTCTTGAAAATAACAAAAATCCATAACCTAGGCGGAGTATTGAAAAATCAGGAAATCTAATTCTCCGTTATCGATTCCTCGTATTCTATTTTTCTGCCATGTCTGAAACAATATGGGCCATTCCAGACAAGCTAATGGAATTAGATCTACCACACCGTTCTCTTTCGGCAAAAATTTTCAAATTAATTTCTGCAAATACCGCACTTTCCGCCTCCCCACCCCTCTAAATGTTATTCCCAAATGGAAATCGCTAATTTCTCATTCGAAACAGATTCAATGGCATTAAGCCAATAGAATTCCAAATTAAACTACATTATTTTACTCTTCTGGCCTCTATGTTTAATTTTTATCCCTTAAAATCGAACAGTTATCTTGATGATGATTTTGTATGCATTAACGATTGGAAGTCCTTTCAGATCTGGTGAGGAATTCATGTGCACGGGATATTTGAAAATGTAGCATACTGTTGTAGCGGATAACTACTTTTGAAAACATTGACTAAACTCAGAAACCTCTACTATGGGTTCGCAGAAGAAGTCGACGTATGGCAGGAATACGTTTATTCGCTAGCTAAATCACGCTCTTGTGTACACAGGAAGGAAACTCAGTCATACAATATGGCGGCTTTCGGTAAAACACGTGAGGGCACTGAGCTGCTATTGGCTGCGTGCTCTTGTCCTCAAACCGTACGCGAGGTTGTACAGCCGCACATCAAGCCTATGAGTACACGCATGCGATGACGTGTCCCACACTGTCACTTAGAAACGAAGCTACGTCGATGACACTTGTTTAGTGAGGTTGAAAATATTTAATTTCTTACTTTTAACGAGCATTTAAATTTCAACTCATTCATTCAGCAGTGCTCGAATTTATTGAAAATAATTTACATATTTCACATCTTAAGCATTCAACGTTTTAAATTCTATTGAAACTGTTAGACCTAATTTAGCCATTAGATTATAAAAATGCTTTATGCATGGCAAATTGATTTGAAATTAATTATTTGCATTTGACTGCCACTTATTAGGACATTTTTGCTTATTAGCAAACTTCAAAATTAGTAGCTTGGAATACCCATTATTTTGCATGCACTTAATAAAAGGAGGAGTTATCATGGATAAATTCTTGAAAAATAATATTCTTACAGCTTCTCCTGCATCTATGGGTCACATTAATTAGTTTTATTTTATTTCCCTACGGAAATTTACACGCTTTCGCAATTAGTTAATTTATTAAGTTATCACAAAGAGTGAATTAAAACACGTTTAGCTCATTTATCGGTATTCGAAATGGGTGTAATTCTTTTATTGATTTAAATTAAACTTCAAGTTTGGTTTCTTCAACGGTATAAAATAGTTGAAAATAAATTAATTTTGTTTGTTTTACTATTATTCAGTTGGAGATTTGAATGATCACTCTCTCGTTGTTCTAAAATGAAGATATTGTGCAGATAGAGTCCAGTGCACTACTCCTATTATTGTCTTGGCCTTTACCTTAGAATAGAATACTAAAAATGCTACTGAAAGGAATTAGCAAAAAAATTGATGAAATCGAGTATTAGTTATTTTAATCTAATTTGCCTTTAAGAGTTCTAAGGAATATATATACATATATTCATCTGTGAAGACAGTGGAAGGTTAAGAATACTACCAAACTGTGAAAAATAATGTGTGGGTTTTTGGCTTTCTTCTACTATATTTGCAGCATAAACTAAAGAAGGGTTATTCCCCTGCATTCCCAAAATTAATCGTTAGCAAGTAATGACACGCTGTTTATGTAAAGCTACGCTAATGACATTTGATTTTTAAATAAATTTGTCATTAAGTATGTTTTGGCCGTGTCCAAACATTAAAGATTGCCTAAACCAGGGTTTACCTCTTTTTAGAGTGTTACCACAATATTCATTCCCTCTTGCCCAACCCTATCCTTATATCGATAGTTGATTTATTTTCGTGACATCATTAATTTGTATGTAATGTGAGCTTTCCACTATAAGAATTAAAGGTAGACATGTCTTATTTACTGTGATCTAGTTAATTTCGAATGTAAGTAGATGGACAATTGTCTGGAAAAATTGATTTTAATTTGGTTGAGCCCATTTAATCTATGCATTTGTCTCGCAAATTTTCATTCTTGGTACCAATAAGAAATCTCTCTTTTTAAAAACAAGTTATAAACTTGCTTATTTTAATTCTCCATTTGACGGTATGTAATGTAAGTTCCGCCAACATTTGCGACTCTTCCCTTTGACCATGTCATTTTTAAAATACTTTTTGAAAAACAACATTTTTTGACAACTAAGATGCACGCTCATATAATCTTCTACTTTAAGAGCATTTCGTGATAGTTTTTTGCTTAGATTTTAGTTTTTTGGCTTGAATTTGATAGTATGGAATCTGCAAGACACAGGGACCTTTTGGAAACTTTCAATTTAATTCCTAACTCCTGTAATGTTACTTTCACTTTATTTCGCTAAAGAATTATCCATTTTCGGTCAAACAAACTTGCACGTTTGTTTTCAACTTTTTGGTTTACTTTTCCCAAATATTGACAACAGTTAGCCCGAGAAGTAACTTTTCCCCTTAACTTTGCTCATTCACAATGGACTATAGTCCGCACACCCCACCAAACAAAAAAATAGTTTTGAAACGTGGATACAATAGGCGTTTGGTTTAGAGCCAACCAATGTTGTTCTCACAAAAGTTGTCATAAAAAATCCACTCCTCATCTCCTGTAATTATTTACAGCTCCACCCAGCTCCATTATATTCGGAGATTTGACGCGACACCCATTTCAAGTTACTGTTGCCCAGTTCATCACGGACAAACGAGTTTCAGCGATAATTCATTCACAACTAACCGAGGATCTGCAATAACCAAGGAACTAAATAACGCCATTTGCAATCAAATTCTTTTTGGACGATTTAAATCTTCCAACCGAAAATTACATTTTTGGACTTCAAGTGTACACTTTACCCACATTATGCTTACTGAATAAACTTTTCCATTCTGTACGTCTGTTTTCTCTATAGCTGGGCTGTAGCTTAGCAAGTTTTGGGAGTCTAGCTAGATGTAACAGAATCTGCCACAGAGATTTCTGAGTCAGTCAGACTTTACTAGTGTAGCATTCCGCTACAAGTTAACAATGCTAAATAATTATTTACTTCGTTTAAGACCTGTTTTTTGACCACTACGAATATTAATAATAAAGAAAATAATCTGGCACATTTTAAATTTAAATAATAATTTGATAATTTTTCGAATGAAAACGCATTAAGCTCGTTAAAACCCCACTCTTCATAAATCATAACTATCTGACATTCGTATGGTAGCGGATAGTGCACTAATAAGCCCTCACTAAATAATAACTATTTTCTACGAAAATACTCTCAACACTTGAGGTAAAGCAGAACGAGTGGAGTTAAGAGCGCTTATTGAATGAATTACCATTGGAAAACATGTTTTGCCAATGAAAACAATTAAAACAGCTTTTAAATTAATGTTAATCATTAACTACTGAGTGGTATGACCACATTATGAGCTGCGCAATACCCTTCGTTGTCTTAAATAACTATACAGTTTAATTAGTCAGTTAAGGAATATGTTGAATAATTAAGGCGCTACTCAATTTTTTACTTCCTTGTCACGCAACCCACTTACAATAATAATGAAAAATCAATATTTACTCCTTCTGTGGTAAGAGCAAAATAGCCCAGCGAACCAGTCGACTCCAAATACACCAGTCATAACAGCAGAAAATCTTGTGCCTCTTGGCGATTGGTTGCTTAGCTTCAATCCAAAAGTGTTACTGGCCGAGCGTAGTTTTAAACAATGCTCATTTCCTTTTTCTTCCATAATAGCTCTTCTTAAAATGAAGAAAGCTGTAGTGATACTAATTTTCTCGGTTTTGTGTTCCGTTAGTGTAATTCTAGCGTCGCCAAATCCAATGACTAGAGGTAAATCTACATTGTCAATTAAATAATTTTTAAAAACAGATTCACTTGGTACAAGTAGTGGAATCGAAAGCAATGGTGAGAATTCAAAAATATTAAATGAAATGGAGCAAGATGATGAAGATGGACATGAAGAAGACGATGAGAATAAAATTAAGATTGATTCAAATAGAAGTGTTCAAAGCGACCAAGATGAAGATGATGACGATGATGAGGAACGCTTAGAACAAGAAGATATAATGCAACAGGATAACAATTTAGAACATGAAGCGTACGAAGAGGGATTTATTCCAGAAAATGATCAAGACAATGAAAACGACAAGGATGACGGTGACGATGATGTCTAATGTTTTTAAACGCATTAATGAGCATGACCTATTTACATAAACTAAATTATGTTACATTCCTTTGTATGTCAATAAATTAGTTTCATTTGTTTAAATACATCTCTTAACGTTAAATATCACGCGTTTTCTAATAAATTACTTCAAGTTATTCATTGTGTATTTATGGGGTTCAATTTTGCTACTTTATTTTTTGGGTTATTCTATAAGGAATATTTAAAATTAATGAAAATTATTGGCCGGTGACTGGAAAAAATTTTTGAAACCTTCAACTCATTTCAATTAGATTTAAATTTAATAAAATTTCACCTTTATTTCAATAATTAGATGAATTTTATTATAGATTAGTTCCGATAACTTACTTTCCCTAAACATTAACAATATAGAAATTCAATGTTCTATTCAAGTAAACGGCGATTTGTTATGGTAACCAATCTAATGTCGGTTTGCTTTTAATTTAACTTTTAATGTTTATAACTTAGTTCCAAATTTATTATTAAATCCACTCATCACACAGTCGGCAACGGGCATAAATATTGCAGTTATTTGTGGATGCAAAAATTGGGAATGCTTTGATAATATTTTGACTAAAATTTAAACTTTAAACGGCGTCACATGTAAATCAAAAGTTAATGTTTTACTTTACAACTTCAGAAACTGCAAGTAACTACTGACACAGATCTCGAAGATGAATCGATATTTAATAATCAAACCTCTTGCTAAAATCCGTAATTTGTGAAGCACATAATTAGACTATGCATCAACATTTGCGATGGAACATTTCGGACCATGAAGTCGAGATGATTTAGGAAGCAAATGAGGTTGCCTGTGCAGAGACCGCTTGACCACTCAATAGTCACTCAGGGTCAGCGTACCAAAAACAGCATTTATTTTTTAAGCACCATGGCAACACACACAGCACAAGCAAACGTATTTCACGTCATTCGTCAATTTTCTATATCTTTGAGACAGCTTAGCATATTCCGGGAGCTATTCGTAACTGGAGGATCTTGCCATAGGATAAGTTGTGGAGAGCACAACGCTGCTATAGATGAACAAGGAAATCTCATGCGCACTCAGGCAGACTCGATGGGGTGCGGCCGTGCTACTTGTCACGTAGAAAGCGAGTGCTGTCGTGAGCACTGTGCTTGTTGCACATTTATGCACACAGTGTGAGCTGGACGACAAATCTCATTGGTGACGTCTGACTAATCTAGAGGAAGGTGGAATTCAAGTTCCTCACCAATGGAAACTCTAGGTTACAGTACTTCTATTCACGATGTCAATCGCCAACTTTAGGGAAGGTAACAAATTCACTGAGTATTTTTAGTCGTCGTGTGTTTTATTTGAAAGGACACGTTATAATTTACATAATTTTATTTTGAGCATAGTTATTCGTATAAGAAAATAATTCTGAAAGGGTATGGAACAGCACTATTGTTTTTCTACTACTGTTATTGTTAAAAGACGTACAGTCTCATGCCAACATTAAAACTGAGAATAACATTTTGACATGCAACTTTGCAAGCACATATTTCTTGCTTGCCATAAGACCAGTGATCTCTTCTGGAGTGCTAAAGAACTAGTAGTAGCTTTTAAACGTTGTTGGGAGCTTTGCACTACCAGTTATTAAAATGCTTCAATTACTCTATCAAGTGGTAGTCAAGCTCTGAATTCTTTCGATTTTCCTACCCGTTTTTTGCTTATACGTAAATAACTTTGGTACAGGATCGTTCTCACAATATATTTTGAGGTTTTAAAATTATTTGGCCGATATTACATAAGAGGAAATGGGCAGCTCAAATAACATACCTTAGTGATTTTGGAACTTGCAGATTTGCTCATCCTAATCACCTAAGAGTGGCTTTCAAAGACCCCACCATCAGACTACTTCCTTCGTTGAGCCTTGTTTAGTCTTCTAATCAAAGCTTATTAGATTACTCTATCCTGATCTACAATCTCCTACTCTCTCCCTTTCATTTTAATCTATTTCCTCTTCACGTTTCCCTAGGCCTGTCTCGTAACAGTGGCAGTTTTAATTCAGCGTCTGCCCTCCTGATTTTGGGAAAGGGAATTATATCTTTTGGGGGTTTGCCAGATTTGTGTGGAGATAAAGCTAACTCAAAGTAACCTTCCTGTCCTTATTACTATTATCCTAAATTCTTTCTTCTGATTAATAACAAACTATTTCTCAAATTTGTAAAAGATAACAAAGGTAACATGTGCCAAAACGGATAGTTTATAAAAGCCGATAATATGAGCATATTGCTTTCCACCGGTCTCAAGTTAGAAGCTCCATTATTACTGAAAGTTATCATATATAAACTGAGATTTCTTATTCTTCAAAATTGGCTCTCCAGCCTTCCTTCACAACGTAAAATAGTATTTCTACCATGCATTGCAAATCGGGAGCCTAACGGTAAGACACCGACATTTGAACTTTGGACAATAAGAAGCGAATGTGGCACATTCAATGAATTCCACTTTCAAACGAAATAGTAAACTTGATGCATCATAAATTAGTCCTCGCACCTAGTTTTATTCTGTGGTAAAAATTTGAAGCCGATATTTGACATTAGTACAAATGAGGTTAAATAAGATGTTTTATTGATAATACTGAATATATTGAATCAACTATGCTCGTGTAGATAGCAGTAGTAAAGGGTAACTTAGGACAAAATATACAGACAAGTTGCGTTTACTGCCTTAAGCACAGTGCGATCACAGTACGATCAGTGCGATCCAGCCGGATACTTCCTTTCAAATGATAGCAATTGCCGATCTCAAAACCCTACCAACCTATATATCTGTAATTTTTATTTATCCCTAATCTGTACACCTTCTCCTATTAGCCAAATGAACAACTGTTTGTGCAATTTGAGGTTACGAAGTTAAATACCAACTATAGAATGACCAAAAATTTGACATTCTCATGCTGGCCGTTTTATGGCTCAGCTTTAGCTAAATGGAATACTCTCACATGTTTAATTCATAAAGGCGCTATGGATAAAGCGGAAGTAATCCCTATTCTGTGTTTCAGGACCAAGATCCTTAAAATCTCCAATCCGCTTGCCGTTTTTCGGGCTTTTAAGCTTGGGCAAATCGTATTTAATTAGTAACATTAAGAGTAGGTGAAGTCGTTTTAAATAAAACACAGTTAATTTTCCAGATATTTATTATTCAGATTTCATTAAAAAGCTACAGATCGTCTGTTCTTAACGCATTTCTCCTCATATTCAATGTGGCTTTATCGGGTGGAATAGCACGATCGTTATCAATACTCTAAAATGCAAATCGTATATAATAAATACTATTAATTTGTAATTATTTTCAAATTTGACAATAGAGAAGCCTTACCGAATTGGGATCCACTTCATCCATCTGTTCATTTTGTTGTCTACGCAATTTGAGAACCTGGTAGTAGTTGTTGACGAATACTGCAATCAAGATGAACAGCGCTATCGCCAAGACTGTCCACGTAGCGATATCAAGGTACTTCCTAAAATAATAATAAAAAATAAAGCAAAATCATGATCCGAGTTTCACAGAAAACTTCTCTAAATGCGTGTATTTTAAGTCCAAATTGGCAGCTTGCTCAAATTTTAATTCATATCTTAAAAGTGGTAGTTATAATTTTTCTATAAATAATCGACGAAATTTTTGTAATTAAATTATCATTTTAAGTAGGATCTAGAATAATGTTAAATGAAAAGATTCCAATTTATAAGGGGTCATTCGTTCATTACTCAGTTAAATTATATGTACTTTTAATACTTTCTTGCTGAGATTTGAGCACAAAATTTATATTTGGAAATTGAATTAAATTATTAATCCTGATATGATAAGAAAATTAAATTTACACTTGTGTTAAAAGCCAGGCTGTCAGTAGGATAGCGGAAACCACGAGGAGGGCAAGAGCGAGAAATACGAAAGAAAGCGATTTGTTCCCCCTGCACGATTGGAAAACATCACTCAGCATTGCTAAAGACGATTGTGAGGCGTTGGAGGTAAAGGTAAATAATGAACATAATTTAAACAATGTTCGAATTGATAGAATATGTTTCAAGTGGTTGGAATACAAAAAGAAACATTTAAAGTCATGATAAGGGAGTAAATTCTTACATATTCGTAAAAAGAAGATTCAAATGTTTTTATGTTCTTTGCTAAACAGGCGTATCTTACTTAAAAGACATTTATTTGTAAACTGAATTGCATCAGTCAACCAAAACACGCACAGGTGTGAATGTGTGCTTATTTAACTTTTTAACACCATGAAATATCATTGGTTGTGAAATATATCACATGGTCCAACACAAACCTCTTCTTTCATACCAGTTCATCACTTCTTCTGTTTAAAAGAATAAAAAATAGAGCAGTTTTAAAAGTACGTTTTGCAATGATGTCCTACTGTTAGAGCAAAAAAAAGTATAATGAATGTATACATTTCCAAAATTCAATAATAACCAAAACTTAAGAGAATAGCAGTAGCTTAGTCAAAATGCTCCAGAGGAAGGACCAATAATTTTGATGCATTTTAAAAAAACAATATGTAGATTTTATGATTATTTAATAATAAATCGTCAGCCCAATCTCATGAATGAAAGTCACTACTTTCATCGGACACTTATAAACCGCGTTTCTCGCTTTGAGTTACCCGTAGGTAGGTGAATTAAAATGTTTTAACCGCAATCACACCTTCGAGCACTCTATTTTGACCATTCTATGAGCCTCTTTCATAAATCCTAGACAAAGCAGTAAATCATTGCAATATGATACTATCAAGCATCATTCAGTCCTAGTAAACAAAGACCACAATGTATCATTTTTCTATTTTATTTATACTGCCTAGTGTAGCTGGGATTTTAGTTGCTCACAGACATATTTCCATAGATAATCGAAAGGTTGTCAATTTTATATTGCTGTTAAAATTATTTAAAAATTTGTGGTGTAAAGATGTAAAGCGCTTATATGCATTTAGTTTCATTATTGATGATATTCCATTTTCTAGGCATGCTCAATTAAAATAAGCACTTAATTCTCCCTATCGACCTTGTGCCAAACAAATTGCAACACCTATTTGAGTTGACGTCCCAGGACACAAACATGCAAATACCCCCAGAGAATCTATCATGAAAAGCTGCTGAATTTAACTTTTTATGCAGAGTTTTAGTTAATTTTACACACCACACCAACATAGAAATAAAAGTACTTTAATAAAGTTCAAGGTCAGGTCATGATTAGTTAAGCGAAGATCACACTTGTAGCCTCATAACTTAAGGAACTATTCTGCAATATGAATTAGGTAATTCGATAACCAATCGATGGGGATGCCAAACTTTGATTTCACTTTCCCCATTGACAGTTCACCCAATCAATTACTAGGCCCAGAGAGCGCCCTTTAAAGTGCAACTAAGTGCATCAGGGCTAAGAAACATAAGAACTACAATTGTTCAAGAAGTAAGTTCTCCTGGTTTGCTAATTTTACCTATTAAGAAGTTGATTTCATTTTCGCACAATTATTACTGCTATTTGATTTTTAAACTTTTTTAATCATTACCAATAATGTGCAAAAAAGAAAGGTCAAATTTGAACAATTGATGTGATTTTTAATTTCAAGATTAGGTCTAAAATTGATTCTCGCAAAACTCTCTATAGCAATTCCAATTTGTGAAAAAAGAGATTCATCGCCAGAGAGCAATAAAATAAATTTTAATGTTAACTTTGCGCATGAACTAATGAGAATTTACTGGGCAAAATTTGAATTATCTGCTAAAAACGGGCAGCAGCATTATTAAAACAAAAATACAGGAACTTCGAAGATTATTATAGACTGCAAAAATATTTGAATATTGGAATAAAATTAGTTTGTAAAGAAAATTAATGTTTTAAAATGATATTAAAAGGCCGAAGGATCGAGGTTACCATTTAAATGGCTTCATTGTGTCATCGATCTGAAAATTCACATTGACTCTGACCATGCAATATAATCGATATATTTCCGTGGGGAAATGAATCAAATCTTGCAATATCAGGAGTCAGTATCTCACGTTTTTACCTCTGTACTTTGGGTTTCATCTCTTAATTCAGATCGCCTTGAATGAAAGCGTTGCATAATATTCGTACCAAACAGTGGAGGGTATACATAGATAGGCGATTGTTATATTTGCAATATCCGATTCAATAGTGCAGTTATTCTAGTATTTTTCGGATATATCAATGAATAATGTTTTGCTCAAATTTTTTGTTGCTTCCAGCAGATAAATAAAATAATTGGCAGCCGATCCCTTAATCACTTTTCCTTGCTTTTCAGTAGACAGCAATTTAAACGCCCACTTTTCTTTTAGATCGTATGGCTGAAGACTGGGAAAATTTGTCAAAAGCAGCCCTCTTTGCATTTGCAATTACAGGTGGAGTCTCGACATTGGTATTTATCATCCTCTTCATCTGCAATATCGTGACAGGAGAGTACGTCCACAAATAGTTAAATTTAAATTTGTTTATTAACTTGTGTCAAGCTGAGAACCATTGAATTTTCACTTATCTGGCATATCAGAAAGATTTTTTAGGCCATATATAAAAGCAAACCCACCATTTCTAGAATGGCTGAGACTTCCTGAGAAAATTTGCACTTAAATATTTCAGAAAAATCCCAAATTTGATGTTTATATTGTTCCATTGTTAAAATAAGCCTTATTAATTCGATTGGCTAATCGATTGGTTAATTAATAGACACGGAAGTGAATGAATGACATTAATCCTATGGGCAAAATCCTTGCCACAATAAACGAAAGGTTTACGGTTATCATTTGTGGTTTTCGTTCAATAGTGAAAATATTTTATCCTTAACTGGGACTTTAAAAGCACCAATTACCTTACTCATCAATAGTTAAGCCATTTCATTGACACGTATATGAACAAGAATGAGCAAAAGGAAAGTCGAATTTTTAATAAAATTTTAAATTCAAACGCACAGTAAGGAGTTGGATGTTACTAAAAACATGTTTGGCAACTGGAGTTGAATGAGAAGGGGAAGTGGGAAGGAATAAAAAGCATAAGTGGATGAGAGGGGAACAAGGGTTAGCACTAAGCAGGTTCAATTCTGCTTGCAGAAAAACTGGAATGATGGGGCAAGATAAGACAGTTGAAAGGCCTTATTTCATTTGCTCGATAAAGTGAAATTGACTATTGGAACAGTTCTATGAGGCAGATGGCACAACTACTAGGCTAGTTGTTGGACGAGTCTGAGAGCCAGAAACGGAGCCTTAAATTTCCTAAATTTATATGAAACGATACAAAATTTATTCTACAGAATTTTTTGCTAATTAATGGTCTCAGACTATAGGTTAAAAAACGAACTTTCTGCTATTTTAGTACTCATGAACGAAATTTTAGTCTAATGATCGTAAACATCCACGTTTCACTTCTTTTTCCATTTTCAGTAGGGTCTTCAAGATACCGATGTATGCATCACTTGGGGTTGCAATAGCATTCGCCTTAATCTATGGAGTCACATATGTTTGCTTGAATGCACACTTTTTATTCAAAAATGGATACGGTAATGAGCATGTTCAAGAAAATCAATACCCACCCCATGCAGTGAGTTATTTTCTTTCAAGACTCAAATTTCTGTCTTACTACAAACTTTACTATCAATATATTTTGATACAAATATTGCTTGCAAATCAATATTATTGTAGGCATAGTGATACCTTTCTGCCGTATAGCGCTTAATTAAAGTTTAATTTTACTATCTGGTTGGGTTACCAATTGCGAGATGGCCTCAGATAAAGAGGTAACGAAGATGTGAAGGTACCAAAAGAATAAACTTTTCGCCTCTAGAACTCGTGATGTTAGAAAGAATTGGAAACTTTAGGTCACTTATCATATTATCAGGAAATCGTAAACTTGGTTAGGTAGTAAGGTGAGACCCAATATTTAGGAAGACCGATAAACAGCTTGAAAGCCAGTTGTTAATGGTGAAAAGTGGGTCAAATCGAAAAGTTATCAGTGTGATAATTAATATAATATTTCCTATTAGACCCTTAAGTGCGCCTGTTCTCCACCCAAAATGGCCAATAGAAACATCTGCATCCAATAGGAAATGCGTTTACCTCAAAATTTATGGATTAGCTCTATGTTTTCAATGGGCTTTTAAAGCACTTGTTCTGTCGGCTTTTGTTTTAAAAAAAATCAGAAAACCCGTCGTCCAACCTATATCGGGCTTAAAGTAATTTTGACAAATTCAATTTTGCCAATTAAATTAAATTAAATTTTTGACCAACCTCTATCAAGAAATGTTTCTTATCATCTCTTTTAAAAATTTGAAAACTTTAGCTGTAACTGAATGGTGGAAGAACAGGTTAAAATAAATTGATTATCTTGGGGCGTTTGGTTTCCTTAAATTACAATTATCTTAAAGGTTGACAGGAATCAACATAATTTTCAAGGCCAAAAGGATATGACATTAGGTAGGTTAATGACATTTTGAAGGCAACGGGAAGACAATTGAAGGCGACCGAGTTCAACAGAGAATATAGTAGTATTCAGTACCCTCTATATCATTAAAATAATATTAAGGATTTATATATCAACTTTAAATTAAATTTAAGCTTAGTTTGCAGCCAGTAGAAAATGACAATACACTTTAAAATGCTTAAGTGAGAATCCAAGGTTAATTAAGGAATTTTTCTTCATTTTAATACTTGTAGAATACTGAGATTTAATGAATCAGTTTTTACTATGATTAACATTTTTTGTAGGGCCCCAGTGGGAATTCTGAACTATCACAATCATCAGCCGTTAGAAAACATAAATCCGCAACAATTTAGGGGAGCGGAGGAAATCTGCTAATTTTATAACCGTTGAAAGTGTAATATTTTGAAACTTGCTTTTATATATTTTGAGCCACAAAATACCCAATTTCCGATTTGTATACTTGATCGATTCATCTTAAACTTCGGTTTCTTCTCTTCGTATAAATATGTCCAGAAATAATAGTGGGAACTAAATGAATATCTCAGTGATTAACTTGGTTTTATTGGAAAATATCACCTTGGAAATAGTTCGCCAAGAATAAGTTATTCGCAACAGGTAGTGGGTTTTTAAAAATAGTGCTTATCAATTGGAGATTGAAAAAAAAATTCCGTCCCAAGTTCAGATTCCAGGTTGTGAATAAGATAGAATATCATTTTAAACGCCATATCGTAATGCCTTTCTAAATTCCAAAATCCGATTGGTTAATTTTAACGCCTAAGAGCGATACTATTTAATAGAGCTATTCTCGCATTTATGTGGGAGTACATAAAGGAGAAAACCAAAGTTTGCCCTTCAAAGGCATTTCGCATTTCTAATGTGTTTGCGAACATACCAGGCATTTACTATTAAATCCACTACTCTTAAGGAACTATAATCGAAAGTTAGGTTCATAAATTAGAGTAAATAGGACCGCGGCTGAAGCAATATTTATTTATTTCAAAATTGCAGGCGTTTTGATAGTTATCATTAGCCATTTAGCTGACTTAGGGCTCCACAGAGAGGAGGAAGAACATCAAAGTGACAAAATGCCGAGGGGGGGAGGGGACAGAATAATGATTCACAGATGTAGCACAGACAGACAGACAAAAAGGCAGAGAAGAGGTAAGATGGGTACTGTGGATGGGGTCGAATATGGCATACAGTGGGGTAATGGTAGTCTGAAGTCAAAAGTCAATTGCCAGTTAATAGACTTTTTTGGCGATGAAGCAATACAACCAATGGCAAAATATTGATGAATTCGAGCTTATGACAAGGGAAATTCTGGAAGTGGATGAATTAATTCCTGATGAAATATCAGAGGCAATGAAAAAATCTCATTTTGATTGAAATGTTTCCCAAATACATAAATATGAGAACTGAAACACCCGATATGGCTTCACTTAAACGATCTGCGGAATCTCAGGTTGTATATATTCCTGGATTTCAAAAGAATTTAGAAGGTAAAATATATTTTTCACCCGACTTGAAAGATGTGGGAATGTTGTTCAAATCATCTCACTAATATTATAAGTAATAAAAAGGTAAAATGTTATTTCTGGGGTTAAAAGCTGTTGAAATTGAAGGCCCCAAATACATTTCCAATTCCTGTTTCACTTCTGTTCAATGTTCGATGAAAATGTTTCAACTCCCTCTGACGTGTTTGATGGAAATTTTTCGAACTTTGAAATTTCCTTAGGTATCTCTCACTAAGCAAATATGCTGAAGCCCGGATGATGAATCCTAGCCATATCAATAGTCTTCCAATTTTGTTAATTTTTCGTAATTTCGAAGGATTATTCCAAATAGCTATGGCTTTTGCGCCGTATTCGAGAAATTTGCCTTGACTGAAATTTGTTTACAAGTCAGCAAAATGGTCTTAGCGAATAATTCAAGATAGAAGAATTCGCCAATGAATGCATGAAAAGTGACATAAAATGGAACAGTGACATAAATCAGCAGTATTCATCAATTTAATCGCTTTTCTAATGAAAATGTGTCCAGAAATCTTCTTATAAGCAATGTTCTAGTTGAATGAACGAATTTGTCAATACAGTTCACAGGATGAAAGTAGTCAAGAGTTCTCTCGGATATGTAACAAACACAATAATTTAGTAGAGATGAAATAGAAGTAGCCCTGTAAAAGCGTTCCTGAAGTAGCAAATTAAGCGAAACCAAAACCAGAACAGAATGTTGCTGAGAAGATAGAAAACGGAGATCTTACTTTGGAATTAAAAATGACTTCAGTGTACCACTTCAGGTGTACGGAGATCAACCATGAGCCAAGAAGATGGGCCCAAAGAAAAAGGGGAGGACCTGTGACAGAAATTCTGAATCTGTTCTCTTCTACGTCTAGGTGTCAGCTCATTCAATATTTGATGATGGATTTGCCAGTTGGAACAGACTGAAATGGCAGAATTTACCAGGACACGCTCCAATAAAGGAAGAAGAAGTTCTTGGGTTCTCTAATTTTCACATTTTAATTGACGACTTCGTTGCATTACTGTTGTAAAGTGCGCTTTTTATAAGCTACTTATTTTATGAGCTGGAGCCTGTTGGGGTTTATTTTGGATTTCTATTTGGAAAAAAGTGCGATTTCTTAAGTTATCTAGGTTAGCTATCTACCAGATTGGTCTAAGGTTCCTTATTAGCATTAAAAAGTTAGCTTACCAAAGAGAACATGAATAAAGCAAAATTCAGGTAGCAAGAAAATATCGTGATTGCATGGACAATATCATCAGTCCTCGTTTCTAGTAGTCTAATTCGCCTACTTGAGGGAATCCAGTGAAATCCAAATCTGCAAAATGAGCCAATTATTGTTCTTGCATTATCAACCTACTTACTTCGCGTCGTTGGTGTGAGTTCTTCAATAAAACTTTTGAACAGGAATCATTATAAGCTCCCTGGATTGAATGAAGGTTAACTTATTGTTCTGGGCCGCGTTGTCCAAAATTTCTTATCCTTTCTCAAGATTACAACTACTTGCTCTGGATACGCACTCTCAAATTAAAGCCTCCCGCTATAATTGTTTTACTTATCGTTACCTTTTCAGATGAAAAAAGAAAGACCAATAATTAGATTTCTCAATCAACCCGCATAAATAATATGTAGAAGCGTTTTTTGTCTAATTATTTGAATAACTCTCATCTACAGACTATATTTTTATGATACAGGTGCAAAACTATTTAAGGCCACTGATTAATAGCTTTCAAAATGGCACTCTAGTCACAACATAGAGGTATTTTATAAATCAACACCCCCCCCCCCCCCACCCACCCACCCACTGTTCATATTTATTGTAAATCCTCTTTACTGAACATCAAAAAGGGGTCGTCAGATCAAGAGATGCAGTGGAGTCCTGTTAGAAGAAGAGCATGTAATCCACTGTGTTTACGCACATTTTCGATTTATAAAGCAACTTTTCCTTAATTTCCTCCCAGTCTGTGCAAAAAAAAACCAATGGGCCCTCCCTATTTTATATAAAGATCATCCTTGAAATCCTTTAACGCCTAGAGAATCAATTCTGCCCATTCGCTGCAGCTGGAAAGCAAACGTTGAAATCAGATCCCGTTAAGATATATCTCTTTATCCTAGCAGTTTCACTTGTCAGAAAGAAAATCTAGACATTCAAATTATCGAAAATTTTCCTTTGCCTTTCTATTTCTATTCTAAAATGATGAAATGGCCCCGCTATCGTGGATTAGAGCTGTTTTCGTAATAAGAATGCCTCTCTTTCTAGTCCTTCTGCTTTCTACTGCAACCTTGTTATGGAATTGCGTCTTCATTCGCTCTCGTTAAGTAAATAAAACAATAAAGGGCATTCGCTTTTCTAAGGAGTTCAATTAGCAGTTAAATTTTGAGGATATTCAATTTAGTGGTAGGAGGTCATAGCCCAATACCACCATCCTGCAATTCATCTTTATTGAAATTGTCAATAAAATCTAATTCCTATTAATATAAGCAAGCTTCACTGGCAATAAATAATCGCTTCTTTAACCGGAGGACTGAAGCCAATCTAGGTATAAATACAAGCTTTATTGCTAGAAATCGATTGTCATTTTATTACTCATTTTCCCTTTTGTGGTTTCATTCCATAGATCAAATGCGACTAATACCTTCTAAGCTATATTAACCGGGTCTTTGTGGAAGCAGATAAACGAGAATAGAAGACTGTCGCCAAATGATACTGACAAGAATACAAGCCTAGTAACATTGCTATCTCGTGAACAATAGATCTTTAAACGTGGCTGGATTTAGGTTGAAAATTGAAGCTAGGCAATGTATAAGTTCAATTTTTCATCTGATTGATTTGAAATGACACCCATCAACACGCAACAACCAATCGAGCCAACAATCCCCAATCCCTTGTGATATTTAAGACTGTTTCCTTTGAGTAGGACACTGGGGATGCCCTAGAAATCCCATTTTTAACAGTCCATAAAAAGCAGGCCCGCATTCCTCCGTACTCAAATATTTCCATTCCGAGTTCTTAAATCTGGTACATTGGTGGTTAAGTGGATCTGAAATGAGAGTTCGAGCATGCCAGATTTTAAGATCAGCAGCTTCAATACTGTAAATATCCAAGCTGCATATTTATTTACGATTAGCATAACCACTTAATAAGATTTTAAATGGTGCAGGCCTATTAATTGCCCAAATCTCCCTTTTTATTATTCAACAAAGCAAGAATATTAGAATTATTGCATAGAATGAGTACTTCTAATCATCATACAATGCTTGCACAATGGGTCAAGCATTTACGAAATACTTCTACAAATAGCCATCACAGCACGAAAAAATCATATGTTAACTTTTGAGCTCCCTCAATACCCCTTCAAAGTCGAAGGTGGGGAAGAAAAAGAGAATCTCGTCTTCTGCGTTGACACCATTATCTAAATCAAGTTTTTACTTTTCGTTTTAAAAAGATTTCCCTTACCTGACCCATGGAAGCCATTTCGAGTGTCCGTTAACCCAAATCGTCCACGAAGGCTGTTGGGTTGGGATATAACGGATCTAAATCATAGAAGGGTCATGAGTGCAAAAATGGGAAACGTACTTATAAACTTTAGGGGGGCCAATGAGCTCTCGCCATTTGGTAATCGCCGATTCACCACTAAGGACGTATACACCGATTGGTCCACTGTAACAATGATAGTAGAATAAGGAAGCTATTGGTGTTATAACCATTGGGTTATTCGTAGTTCAAAGTTAAATGTAATAGAATGTCCATAATTTTTTGATATTGTTAAAGTCTAATTCTAATTCTAGTGGTAAAACGTGGGGACTCGTTTCTACAGCCTACTCTATGTCATATTTCACTAAGAAACTTGGAAACTATCTTAATATTAGAAAATGAAAAAGTGGACATTATTCACTAGAAGAAGCGTGAAATAAGTGGAAAACCTGAAATACGAGTGGAGTGGGTTCCTACTGATGTTCTGGCCTGATTTTCAATAAGAACTCACTCTCCACCCCTTCAATCCTTATTGCAATATTCCTTGCACAGGAATAGAAGAGAAAGAGTATCTCACTCAGAGCAATTCTAGCATGACCCAAGTGAACGCTTAAAATACTGTTTCTTCAAAATATTTTGAAATTAAACGTGAGATTCTACAATTGAGGAACCTTCATTCAATCATATTTTCGTTACTAATATTTAACCAGTCGGCATAAATCGAACTGTGATACCCAGATACCTGAATTCTAGACAAGATAAAAATTCGCGCCTGGTCTGCCCACCAGCGTCTTCATTTACCGCAATGGGACTTAACTTGTGAGAATATGCTAGGATATGATCCAGTAAAGATCTTATCAAGTTTCCAATGTCTTACAAATCCCTCCAATTTATTGACTAAAAGCCAAAGGCAAAAACTATTTCCGTGAAACAATCTAATCAATTCGGAAAGTGATGGACTTACGATATCATATAATTAACAAGGCGATCGTAGAAGAACTTGCCTGAAAGGAAGATGAGTGCATTGAGATAAATCATTTCTTTGCAAGGAAAATCACAAAAATGTCTTCATCTCCTACCTTGGTGAGCGAAGTAGAAAAATTCGGCGCGCTCTCGAGTCATGTGGAATTCGCGATAGACTACGGGCTTCAGGCCAGCAATACGAATGGCCTCCTCTGCCAACTAAAAGACAGGTAAAATGCATAAGCCCTCAGCATATGACTTAAGAATTACCCAATTCAACCGGCTAAAAAGCGAGTAAAGTGGCACGGCCTGACTTTCTACCGCTCACTTGGATACCCTTAGTTGAAAGCCGTGAACTACAAGCCGCTGAACAACAAGTAAGCATATGAGTAGAGTAGTGGGGATATGTTCCAGGAGACCTTATCAGACAGCTTTAATAGCCAACAACAGCAACTGCCTAAGTAGGAAAAAAATATATAATTGAGCTGCGAAGAGAAAGAGAAATGCGCTGAATATAAGCTTAACAAAGGGAAATTGACGCCAAACAGAGCTATGCACAACAAAATTCTTCCAGGAGAGCTTAAATACAATCACTTGCATGGCTAATATTATTCATGATAAAGAAAAATATCACCATTTTAATCATCTGAACGTATGAAATAGGAAAAAACGTCTAACAGGAAGTAAAGAACGAGGAGGTAATAAAAATTTGCCCATAGAAAGCTTCGTTATTTGCTAAATAGTCAAACTACAGTTCAAACATCTGGATTTGGTTCTCAGGTTTCTGGGTGATAATTCGTGTTCAGAGACTATTAACAGATTGAAGAAATTAAAGGCCCCATCGATATACTTGTCTCTTTGGGGGAGATAGTTGAGTCTACCTAAGATACTTAAACAGAGGTAAACTCGCTAGAGTTTACAATGAAGGAACTAGTTTTATATTTTAAGCCAAAAGACAATAAATTTTATGTCTAGTGAAATGAAAAAATAACAACCCGTCATTCTCAAGCCTATGACAGCGGTCTGAACGTAGGACGAATATTCATTTTACTAACTCCGAAAAAATGACATTTTAATCAATAAAGCCAATATGCCGGTTTGCCAACCTTAACAAAGCAATAATCCTGTCAAAACGAAAATGAGGATTTTCAAATCAACGAGTATTTTTGTCATGGCGGTATTAACATTTGCTATGTTTTCCAACCTTATGATCATGTGTCTCAGAGCACACTTTCTCAAACTAGATTTAATTAGCAAGCTTTTAAAATCTTTAAATTCGTTCTTTCTCATTCTCTCTATTGCTATTTTCGTGAGTATCTTCAAACAAAAATTAAAACATAAATAAATATGAAATAAGTAGGAATTCAATAAAGAATATGATAAAAGAATGAAAAGCTGTGTGAAAAGATCAAATTCACACTTCAGTGGGTGTGTGGGTGGTTATTTTTTGCACGAATGGACTCGAGACTAACTAAATGGAACTTGGGTGTAAAATCGAGGGAGTGATGCAGAATGGTCATAGGACTCATTTGGAAAAAAAACGTAGAAAATAAAGCAAATGACTGATTTCCACAGGCATGAAAGATGCTTCGCTGACATACCTTTCTATACGCCTCAATTCTCTGAACATCCGGTTTAAATATAGCCAAAGTAAGTCGATTTCCAACCATTGATCTATAAAGCGAAAAGAAGACTACAATTCCTACGTTAGCTACTTTTCAAAAGCATCCATAGCTTCGAGCAGTCGTCAAAATTGTACACTAACAAGTGTGTAGTACTTTTAAAAGTAATCAAAACTACGATAGACAAAAATTTTCCCGAAAACACAGGTTTCATAATACTGTTAACACAAGGGACGTTAGAATTCCTTCCAAACTGCAATGCTCCAATCAAAATGAAAACGAAATCGAAGTAGGTAAACAAGGTATTTATATTTCGTACTAATTCACGAATATTTACAAATGGGTACAACAATTTTGTGACACTTCTCGAATAGTATTCAACCTTGAAATTTCCTCGTTCAGAGTTATGAAAGCTAATTGTTCGGATGCCTAAAAGGTGGAATGTTTTATCAGAAACGACGTTTGCCTAAATATTATTTAGTAGAAAGTACTTTATAAATAAACTAACTTGTTGGATATCTTGACTGGCTTTTTCAATATTTTCCAGTTTCCTCGCAAGATGGCAAATATTGTTAACTCCTTCCTGAATTCCTTTTAGCATCATTTCAGGCAGGTTATCTGACGGTTTGTTCGGGGATATTGTTTCGTTAGTTTGACAAGAAGATTCCATGTATTTTATCAATTGCTCTCGAACTTTGGAGAGCTTGTATATCACTTGATTGTGAGTTTCAATCCACTAAAACAGGAAAACTAAGATACATGAGATCAAATCTTGAAATAATACAGAAATCCTAAGCTATTAGTGTAGGAGGCTTACAGATTTAGCAACATATTCACCGTATAAAGGAGGTAACTTAGTGGGCTTCGAATCGATTTGATCGCGAATCTGTTCCGATGGTTGCCTGACACCTGCATTCGCCAGCGAAAGAGGATCGGTAGGGGGAAGGCTGTGCATAACATCCAGCGCATGGGTCGCGAGTTTCAGTGAATTCGAATTCATCTGAAGACGTAAAAAACCATACCCGACTATTGATAGTAAAAAGTGAAACTTTGTAAAAAAAAGGACTGAGTTGAGTACGAATTTAAACTTTATTAGCATCAGAAAATTTTGTTAAATTGTATCAACTAAGGGGCTGATAACAATCAATCAAGTATAATAACATCATCATCAATCCGCGACCTTTTTGACGCCGGACTGTCTATAACTATTAAACTGTCACAATCCTCTTCATCACAATTGATCGTGCCTTCTTGCTCACAATCCAACTTGCGTTTGACTCCAGTTTTAACTGGGCAGAGGGCTAAAATGAAAGGGCTATCAATCATGGCTACTTAGATTATATAAGTAGTAAGATTTGTATATAAATTACAGTCCGTGTTCTTTGGTGATTTTGGCTTCTCGCATTCATCAACTTTAAGGGTATCGAAATTCCCTTCAATACGAAAAGCAGCCTCATCACGACATGGTTCTTTGTCCAAAATGCGCAAGAAGAACGTCATATTCTGTCGGAAGTCGTCACAACATAGACGACGAAATCCATCAGCACTTATTTTGAAATCCTGCAGCGTCTTTTGCTCAATATCTGAAGAACAAGAGGGACATGAATATGGTATTTAAATTTCGGAACTAAGTGGATTTTAACAAATTTGGCAGACACTTCCAATACGTCATCCATAAAAGACTTCGAAAATTCATTTAAGATTTGCAAAAATAGATTAAGTTAAAATTAAGCTAAACTTCTTAATATTGAAACAAATCGCCAGTATTCTTTTGGTACATTAAAGTAGTTTGAAATTGATTACTTAACTTTTGAAAATGTACGCATTTAATTAAATTGTGTTTTCTATCACAAACCCCTTGTGAGAGTAAATATACTCCCCTCTGTGAAAATTAAACTAAATTCGATGCAACAAATAGTACCTCCGATTTTAGGTATATTTTAAATGAAGTAAATTTGGTATCGTCATGAGTGATGATCATATAGCCACGGCGAAAGGAAATTATCGACCTTTCAACTAAGCATTTAGTAGGTTGCCGCACAATAAACTGCAAATTAATGCAGGTGTAAATCGAGACTAGCTATACCTGGTTTGAGTCATTCCGAGTAAGAATTTGTTATAAATTTTAAATTAACTTAGCTAGACATCCGTAACAAACCCTCTGTCAGCACATCTGATAATAAGAACATACCGATGGAATTTCCGTAATTAGAAGAATTCACTGAAAATCCTTACCCAGAAACTGAAATAGAGCAGATAGATGATTCCAAACTTGAGAATCAAGGACGCATGCCAAAATCATTTGAATACATTTAAGAACAAACAGTTACTAATCTTAGGTAGAAAAGTAGCGTCTTAGGATCTATCTGGTTAAGGTGTATTTCTGTCTTCTTCAGCACTAGCAGTCAAAGAAAACCTATTTGTTTCAAAAATACCATAGAATGAGGAACCGACCAGAAGGACGAATACTGTGAGTATTATCAAAAGCAAAAAACTGAAACACTGACAATAATTTATCACAGACCAACCTTTCGTTTCATCGCCATCGGATGATATGATAATAGTACTAGTACCCTCAATTTGTACATCAGGTGCAATCATTCCCAAGTGCTTAATCAGAACTTCATCCCTTAATTGAACAAGTTTCATCTCCCCTGGACTGCAATAGAGACGAATCTCCTGTGTTGGGCCGTCCGAGCACACCAAACACTTGGGATTGGGTTTTTCGGGTCTACATGTTGTCAAAAAACGTCCAAAACCAGCTGGTTGACGATGAAGAAACACTGTACGGACGGACTGCAAACAGATAAACCAGTCTATTTATTTCTAATTAGTATATAAAAAGGTACTTCAAGTACAAACATACGTCAGTTCTGCCCTCGAGAACATTTCGAGCTTGCAGTACCATCGCACCAGCAATGATAGCATTAGTAGTTGCTATGGCGGGAATAATGTTTCCAGCGAGCGATTTTGTTGAGAAGAGGGTTAAATTTTCAGCGCCGGGAACATGGAAAAGGAAAGCACGAATAATGGAAGCTGCTGCGACAAATTCCATTTCATCTTTAAAATCCTGAATGGAAAAGATGTATGAATTATGTAAGTGGCAGTGAAACATCTATCTAATTCTTTAACAGTGTTTTAATGTTATTAAATGATGAAAAGAACAAGAGGAAAGATAAATTTGAACGCAATTATGTAAAGAAGAAATCAAAAATGCACAAACTTTGCACAACTGTGAGCGTAATAAAATTACAGCAATGGAAGGAAATGAAGAAATAGTACCTTATGAATGTGAACTACAGAAATAAAAGATTGCAAGTCGCAGGTGACAAGGAATGTCAAAAATATTGGCTTGAAAAGGTCTCTTTCTCTTCAAACTAATGGAATATGTGAGTCCAAGTCGTATATTCGTTACAAACCTTAGATGAATCAGCTTATTATTAAAGAAGGTATTCAGTGGAATGCAATTCCGATGGACAATTATAATTAACAAGAGGGAAGGTGGAAAACGTGAACGTAAGTAAGAGAGGCTTTGGACAAGTATTGGCAACACACCCCTAGGTAGGGGCTGCAATCGTATAAAGGAGATTCAACCTGCTAACTTGGTGAGCAAATGGGAATATATGACTACCTTCTACAAAATGGGCTCTATAGTTCTAAAGATTATCATTATTATACCAAATGGCAGGAATCTTGATAGTTATCATTAGCCCTTTAATTGACTTCAGGCTTCATAGAGGGGAAGGAACATCAAAGTGAAAAAAATCGAGAGGGGGAGGGAACAGAAAAGTGCTTCAAAGATGTAAAAGAGACAGACATAAAGGTAGAAAAAAAGGTGAGGTGAGTACTGTGGAAGTAGTCGAATATGACGTACAGTGGGGTCATGGTAGTTTGAAGTCAGAAGTCAGTTGCCGGTTAATAGACTTTTTTGCCGTATGAGTATATGTTGCACCACGTGGAGGTAAGTCTATCCCACACCCCAAAATTCTAAAGATTAGCACCACCACCCAATCTATGTCGAGATCTTGGTTTAAACTTCGAAATAAAATTCTTTATACTCGCCTCAGTTAATCAAGCATTGAAAGCGCTCTAGGCTAGGCTAAAATCGTACCTCATAAGGTCTTGCGTTCAAGAAGACTAAATAAAACGACTTGAGAAGTTTAGAAGACAGACAGAAAGTCAAAAGCGAGAATCAAAGGAAATATTTACGAAAAGGCAAAATGCCCGATTAAATTATGCTTTTCTATAAACATTTCGAGTCATACAAGAGTAATTACAATTTCCTATTCAAACTGCTTGAGAAAACATTTCTAAGATACAGATTCTAACATTCATTTCTTATGAAAGGAAAGGGTGATTGAGAAGTCACCCCAAAGTGAGCAATGTGAAGATTAGTAAAATCAACCTTCTGGGGGGAAAGTGAGAAACGCAAAGTTTCGAAGAAAAGAACACAACCAGTAACCAAAAGTTGATCAGAAATCAATGCACCCCCCCCCCCTTTCTTCAAGCGTAACTTTAGATTTAATTAGTAAAGTTAGTAAAACACATGGAACTATAAAGATTTTTTCAAAGAACGTACCTTATCCCAGGAGAGCGGTTTGCGTTTCTCATGAAGTAAAGCATCTTCACAACCAGCCTTCTTGCGAAGATTAACACAACTGGTGATAAAAATCTTAATCCAACCTCGAAGTGACATTTTTCTCTGGTCCCGCGGAACTTCAGCCCCCTCCACAGAATCTATTTCTGTAAAAAAAACAAACGTCACAAATATATGCAAAAAAGTGTGTAAAAGTAACATAAGACGAACCAGAATGTGACTCAGCGGCCCTAATTAACGTTTCCTCCAGTGGAATTGGTTCTTTTCTATCTGGACGATCTTTCCAAAGACTATCCATACTAAGCAATACCTTAATATCCGTGTTGAATAAGACAAGTAGTAGGGATTCTTCAAAAGTAAGGCGAGTTTCATTCATGGCAGAAGTAGCTCTAGACCATAGAGATATATTACTGGGACTATTCGACGATAGATTCGATTCTCCTGCCTTAGCAAGTAGGTCATTAGATCCACTTTCAAGTTTAGCTTCTGGGTCGTTAAAATCTGGGGAGATATCTGCATCCTCAGAGTCCGATTCTCCAAAAAGTTGACTAAACAAGAAACTCTAATTGAGATCTTTATTTTACACCTCACGAAAAGCTTTCCAATGGGAAGAGAGACTTACTTGAATAGGAATTTTGCCCAAACAACGCAGTGAATTGGTTCCGAAGGGGTATTTCGAATGGTGCAAGTTGGATAAGACCGTTTATCATTTAATCTTGGCGTACATTCGAAGCACAGCGACTGAGGAGTTTTCCCGTTTGCTTTAAGGTATATAAGAGGCTCAACTTGACCCAAGTAGCCAGATGTCCCCGATTCAATAATCGGTTTACTAATATTTGCACACATTCGGTTAACATGTCGTCTAGCAGCTAAAATTACTGATAAAACAAATTATGTTAAATATACCCATATTGTCCAAAGCATTAAACACAATGTCAAATTTTTTGAAGAACTCAGAATCGAAGTAAAAGGAGAAAATGCTGCTGTGATATGGGGTTAGTTCAACATCATCCCTAAACTTTTTAATGCTTTCACAAGCAACCTTTAACACAACATAAAAACATTAAAATTCGTAAAATACCTCACATTTAGATTTTCCGATGTGGACCTTTCGGAATAGGAACTGTCTGTTAAGATTGCTTAATTCAATTGTATCAACATCAATCTAGCACGGATAAAAAACAAACAAAAAACTACCACAGAGATTTTCTTAAAGCCACTGTAAGCTAAATTTTTTAATAGTTCACATCCAATGCCACCAGCTCCAACTACAAGCACATTATATCCCTCACCGAACTTCGCCATCCGTAAGCAGGCTTGATAACTCGGGCTAAATTTGCAAACTTAGAAGTTTGAATTAATCTGAACATTATAACAACAGTTTTATATTTTAATATAATTTCGAGACGTCAAAATCTTAAGTTTTCTTTTATTCCCACCGCCGAATTAAGTTCCTGAGATTATCAGTGAACTCACATTATCAAAAGTGCACGGGACGCGCCATCTCAGGACAAAGTCAATTTGCCTTAAATTTCGCAAGATTTTCCTACCATTAAAGATGGGTTTGCTTTTCACACATTTAGAATGTATTTATGTTGGCTATACATTTAAGCAGGCGTAAGTAGAAAAGGAACCTGATACATTTTCTCCGATTGTTAATAACTTTCCGCTACTTTCCTTAGATTAGAGGTTATAGGTGGAATCTCATTGAAAAGTTAAAGGCCATCCACAAGTAAGAAAAACTATTATCATGTCAAGATATTCAGGATCTTCATTACATTGTTAATGGAAGATAACACTTTCAAAACAGTTTTTTAGATAAAATAACTTTCTTAATCGTGACCATTTGTTTGATCTTGAATAATACACATCGATGAGCAGATATTCATCAACAATTGGCATTCGGAAACAGTATTGTGGGCATCAGGAAAATGTTATCATAGACGATCAATGTATATCACGTAAATACTAGATTTATTTGAATTAATCAGTGATTTGTTACGGAAGATGTCCTGAATATAAACGTTTTGGGCTTAATATTGTAAATTTACCAAAAAGGAAAGTATATCCGAAAAATGTGAAAAATCCGGTGCCAATGGTGTTCGTGCTTAAGTCTTCTTGACCATTTCATTAATGTTATTTTTTCGTCCAAATCTGTTAACTCGGAATTTAACACAGTCACGAGCTGTGTTAAACCACGTTCAATAATGGTGAGCATTTCTGGGTATAGATAGACTCGTCAAATGTTCCATAAAAGAAATCCACTTTCAATATCGACGTAATTTAACCTTCTAAGTGAACCATAGTGAGGAGGACTCAAATTAAAACTTTCACTCACTTAAATTTTACAGTCATTACATTTGTCAGTTTTAAGGCAAACTCGAAATAAATATCTGAAAATTGCAACATAAAGTATAAACAGTGCAAAAAAATCATTGTATAATGATATAGGGTTTTGTTCTATATCTTTGGCCCTATAATTTCCATTTGCTAATAACAGATTTAAGAGGCAACAAACAAATTTATCGCAATTAAATCTGACGACATGGAAACATTATTGCTAAAATGTTATCGATTATTAAAGAGATTTCGACCATTTTCAAAAATGTTCTCATTAATTTCCATTATCTGAAATTGAAATAAGTCATTCAGGTAATTCGTTACTCAGTTTTAATCTCTATTGAAAGTGAGAAAAAGTACTTTCGTTCTGTCATTTACCCTAAATCTATAGATTTCGCTAGCTAAAGTAACGATAAGTCATCTACAGAGTTTTTCACTTGAAATATTTGATGACAATGTATATAAATGTAAAAATAATCTATAAGCGTTTAATTTTTTCATCAGATACTACACTAATACTCTTTGTATCCTCAATATTGGTTCAGTAAAAATGATAATCGCAAAGAAAATGTTGCTAACTAATAGTAAGGGATCAGTATTAGCCTAACAATTAATATACCTTAAAGGTAATAAAATTTCGCAAGGCATAGAATAATTTGCAAATTTATATATATATATATATATATATATATATATATATAATACTTCAAATTTTTCCTGAGAAAAATACTAAAATGAATATTATTGAGTCAGAAGGTAAATAGAAGTCCATGTTAAATATGATTTTTGATTTTACTTACCTAAGACTAGATTTCATCAAGGCAGAAATAAAGTAGTTAATATGTAATATGACCACTTCAACTGTGATGCTTGTTCTACTAGCTCTTAAGATAGCGCGCGCTGCTTGGCATTGCTTCGTGATATAACACGCGAAATGTCGGGTTATAACTTTAAGACCATTACGGTGGTTCCTTCTTATAAGGTTTGTATACTTTTGTGTTTCAGATTTTTCCTAGGATTTTATTGATATTGTTCTGTCGAAAACGCAACGAACAACTCCAACGGTTATTCACAAGCAATATCCCATGCCCCGTATTAGAGCCTTTTATATGCGAAAGGTTAAAACATGTCAACAATACTTCCATGATAAATTAAATACCATCTTAACTGAGTTTCCCATGCTTGAAGTAAGTTCTATCATATCCTTCATCGCTTTTAGAACATCCATCCTTTTTATGCCGACTTAATTGGTCTCCTCTATTCAAGGGACCACTTTAAATTGGCCTTAAGCGAGATTAACAAAGCAAAAACTCTCATTGATGGTATTGGTCGTGATCAGGTCAAGTTGATAAAATATGGCGCCACTCTCTACCAGTGCAAAACACTAAAGCGTACGGCTTTTGGAAGGTGAGTGTTGGCTCACTTTTTATTAAATATACATAGAATGTGTACCATTATCAAGCGAAATCAGAACAACTTGAAATATCTCGAAGAAATCCGGCAGCACATGTCACGCTTACCGTGCATTGTTCCTGACACGCGTACTCTTGTTATTTGTGGCTTCCCAAATGTCGGAAAGTCTAGTTTTATTAACAAGGTTTGTTGTGCATTTATGAATACTTATAGTTCGAATTCAGATTACTCGTGCTGATGTAGATGTTCAGCCTTTCCCTTTCACTACGAAAATGATCTTTGCTGGACACACTGACTACAAGAATCTTCGTTGGCAAGTTATCGACACTCCTGGTGTTCTTGATCGTGAATTGGATCAATGCAATACCATTGAAATGACAGCTATCACAGTCTTGTCACATCTACCTGCTTCGGTCATTTACATCATGGATCCGTCCGAGCATTGTGGCTTTTCGCTTGAAGAACAAATTCACTTATTCAAAACTTTGGAACCTTTGATGTCAAATAAGCCTGTTTTGGTTGTTGCTAATAAGGTCAGTATTGTCATCTTAACCCAACGTATGTCTTCCCTTTTTATTTGGCAATATTTTCTTTTAGACTGATGTTGTCAGTTTTGATTCTCTACCAGCAGAGAAAAAAGAGCTTATATTGTCTATTTGTCGATTACCCGGAGATGAGATGGCAAATGTGGATAAGCCCGTCTTTATGGAAATGTCAACGTTACTTGGCGATGGAGTAATGGAGGTTCGAGCACGAGCCTGTGATGAATTGCTTGTCCGTCGTGTTGAAGCAAAGCTGCGAGCTGGAGCAGCTAGTCTAAGAGAAGGCTCGATTGCCAACCGCCTCTATATCGCTCAACCCAAGAGTGTAAGTCTATCATATCTAAGTAGTTCTTAGTAAAACTTTGTAAATTAACTCAATTTTGTATTTTTAGATTACCGCCGACAGACCGCCCCAGATTCCGGAGAGCATTATACGCAAACGAGGCATGAAACGCACCGCTGCAGAAGCAGTCCTATCTACTCCGATGGATATTGATTCTTCTGATGCTCCACCGGCCAAGAAGTCCATGACGCTTCGTGAAAGAGAGCTAGCTGAAGGTGATGAATTCTATCTTAATTTACGCGATGAATGGTTATTGAAAAATCCAAAAGAGCGCAATGACATCATTCCTGAGATTATCGAGGGCCACAACATATTTGATTACTTCGATCCAGATATCGAAGCTAAATTGAATCAACTTGAAGAACAGGAGAAACAGCTTGAAGCAGCTGGTGTGTATGATGAGGAGGATGATCCCGATTTAACGGATCCGAGAATGCAAAAGATTAGGGCAACCGCTGCGAAGTAAGTTTTTATTCCTTTGCTGCTGTAATATTATCTCATCGGGTTGTTTCATTCTGTTTTCTATTATCTATTAGAATCCGAGAGGCTAAAGCTCTTCGTATCTTAGAATCCCAGTCTCGGAAAAACAAATCCAAGAGTCGTATCTCAAGAGCTGAGCAGGGTGTATCTGGCAAACAGATGGAGAAGGAACTTGGCAGGCTTGGTTTACCTGTTGATGCCAGTGATGTGGTTGATCGAAGCCGTTCTCTCAAGAATGCGGCATCTAGACGTCGCGAGGCTTCAGCATCTTTGGCCAGAAGTAAATCTCTTCACGAGGCTGCTGTTGCGCGTAGTGCTCGACCCCGAGCTCGTTCTGGTGTTCGGGATGCTGCCATGGAAGCAAAAGTTGTTAGACGCGCTAAAATTGATTCTGCTCGTCTTATTGGAGCAAAGGCACGAAAGGGTGAAGGTGATCATCATATTCCCGATCTTAAACCCAAACATCTTTTCTCTGGCAAGCGACCTATTGGCAAAACCCAACGTCGTTAATTTTTGTACTGCGTCTACCCTTTCTGCCTCCTTTCATTTGTACAATCCGCCTTTGATTCCAATTAAATTTTTTTGCAAGAAATGCATGGAATTGTGCTTTTATTTATCGCTGGAATTCCACTGTGGTAACTTGATTTTATTGCTCATCTCCATCATAAACTTCTTGGTGCATATTTTAGCTTATGACCTGTCTAATTTTCACATTTTAATATTCGGATAAACAGGTAACTTATAGCTCAAAGTAGTTTTTTGGGAGTGATAAAGGGATTTGATTCATGAGCATCGTTTTAATCACCTTATAAACGACTTGATGACTACCAATGATTTCGGTGAATGATAACCCTGTGTGTCGTTTTGCCTGTCCTAAACTTTTTAAATCTATTCAAAGCAAGTTCTTATTGATCTTTGCGTCTGAAGAACAGTGAACACAGTAAACAGCTCCGCAGATCACAAGTATTGTTTTGCAACGCACAACAAAACTTGAAAAATTTCGTCGCAGGAAATCTACTAAAATCGGCTAACAGTAAGAGGAGAATTGAAGAAATATTGAAATATTAAAGGATTTTCCGATTCGGAGTACGATTGCGGAATTGATTATTCCAGAGCGGTTTGTCGATTACTTATAGACCAGCTCAGTAAGTAGAATAGTCGACCTTACTGCTTCATCTTCTAAGGAGTAGTGCTTTGGCGTGGTTCTTAAGTAGAATAACTGACTAGGTTTCGAGTAATGAGAAAGTTAATAATTGCTTTTACTTCATTTAAAGCCCCTTGTTTAGTACTATGATATCCTATGCTGTGAAGCGTACAACGCCATCAGAACTCATGCGCATCACTTAAGCAGGAACCTCATATTTAATGGAACAAATTTTCAAAATTTAGCCATATTGTTTATTAGAGTTAGATACACGCTATATGTCAACATTAATTTACTTGGATAGGTGGAGTGCTATAGACTTACCTCCACGTGGTGCACCCTGGGCAACATATACTCATACGGCAAAAAAGTCTATTAACCGGCAACTGACTTCTGACTCCAAGCTACCATCACCCCACTGTATGTCAAATTCGACTACTTCAACCGCACTCACCTCACCTTTTTTCAACTTTGTGTCTGTCTCTTTTACATCTTTGAAGCACTCTTCTAATCCCCTCCATCTCGACCTTTTCACTTTGATGTTCCTTCCCATCTGTGAAGCCTGAAGTCAACTAAAGGGCTAATGACAACCATCAAAACGCCTGCCATTTGATATAAATAAATATATTACCTAAAATAAGCCAAGTTTAATATACTAGAATTAATGATTTAAAATGCCGAATAGACGGCTTCTGGATTTAAAGGAATGCCAGAAAATGGTGGAAGCGAATTCTATTAGTACCTATGATTTGACATTGGCATACTACACTAATAAGATAAAATCAACGCCCACTGATACAATTCTCCCGGTTACAGGGAACACAACAATACGCTTCTATATCAAAGAGAATACAACTGCAGATTCCCAGGGACACATTCTGAAGCACTTAAGAAAATAGGCCAAGACACCTACTGCGCAATCTGGTCTAATACAGAAAGCTATAGAACTGAAGAAAGCGTTACAAATTGATAACAAACCACAAAGCCTCTCTCTACCCTAAAATCCATTAGCAGACACTGATGTAGTGTTACACCCAACTGCTTGACCACTTCAGGAAAGCAAATACCCCTCCAGAACAAGTGCGCTCACTGGCCCCTGACACAATCAATGCCAACTATTTTATGGATCAATTGCTCTAAGTCTTCACTGTTGGGTCTAAATAGGAAGTCAAACAAAAGTTGGTGCAGGTACATACGTTGAATTACACAATCAATTGGAAACAGAGAAGAGCCCAAAATAGCATATATATTCGAAAGCAAAAACTGCGTCAGTTACTCAGAGTAAAAAGCAAAACAGTTGTCCTTCAATGGAACCCCGGACACTGGCATGGGCAATGAGCGTGCTGACACTGGCTAAGAGGAGCCACAATTTCGAAAGGCATGAACAGGCGAAAGTCATTCCACACAATGAAATTAAAGCACGAACAGTGGACAGTATTACTCTCCAGCGTCTCCGAACGACCAAGAATCGAAGCAGGTGCAGAGTTAACGCACGGAGTACGACTTTGTGCTCATATAACCCAACCATCATGTGATGTGCAACAGATGAATTAGAGCTTTATTCGGCTCCTAACGACTACGGCAGACACCGTATGTACCCTAACCGATCAAAAATGGTCTTATGCAGCCACCGGATTTCATTCGGACCCACCACATAACTGCGCAACTCCATATCATTATTATTCACCATACACTGCAACAAAATGTGCTAACCTACTTAAAATTTTGCATTGCTGACAACCCTGATTACTATTACCACCCCTCACATTTGTCCCCACGTTATGCTATAACATTAAATAACATACTAATTGATACATTATTGTATATATAGATGCAGACAGGTAACCCAGCACCAAAAACATACCAGGCCGTTTTCCACACCTTCATTCAATTTAACCTGTATAGAACCGATTCGAAGAATCGAAACAGTTTTCACCACAGGTAATGAAAACAATACGCACAGAATAAAAGTAGTTCTTTGAAATAGATTAGAATTTTATTGTTAAAAATGCAACCGATCTTCGTTTCACTCATGCTTTTTCCGACGAACTCGAACGCCTGCAACGGAAAACCTGCCCAATATAAAGGGGAAACGTAAGTTAAATTTCGAATTAAGTCGTCGAACGTGTTAAAATGAAAATAAAAAACTACCTCAATGGAAAGTTTGGGAGCCGACCAATTAATTCCTGACCAATCTGAAAGAAAGACGAGTGTTAGTTGGAGTTCTAATAATCAGTTGTATATTTTCTTCAAGAATCTGATAATGTAGGTAAGACATCATAATGCACTCACATTTCAAACCAAACTTTACTGAATGTGAGGCCAACCAGACTACAAATCGTATTGCCAATCCTAAAATCGAGGCATCCATTAGTCTCAGTAAGAAATTCAACATCAAAAGCATTCAGTCGAAAGATGGTAAAGCATCATTCGCGAGTACATATAGCGGCATACTCACCAAAGATTCCTCCAATATTAACGGCTTTTTTGGCATTCCAAAAATATCGTGACTAAACACAATACAGCGCCACTATATTTAACTTTTGCTGAGCATAAGCGAACCTAAAATAATAAAAACACTTGTTAACATCAGTGGAAAAAGATGGCATCAGAACTCAGGCGAAAGATGGTAAAGCATCATATTGTAAGCGGAATTAAGCTCACCGATAACTGAGACCGCCGTGGAGCAAACATAAGCCGCAGACCTCACCGCAAACGCACGCATGTCGAAGTGAAGTGCTGTCAGATCCGAACAGAAGAGTAAAACAATCGTAATCTTATAACTATTCAAAGTTTAGCTTTAATCACGTTTCAAGTCAATTCGATTATTTTAAATATTCTTTTCCATAAACTAACATATTTTTACACATACAGATAGATAATATTGTTCAGAAATTTTGACACTGAAAACGTATTTNGGGGGGGGGGAGAAAAAATAAAATAGGCTTTAGGGCAGTAAATAGAAGTTCATTAGTCGCCTTCTGGCTTCCCAGTAGTTCTGGGTTCCCGTCGTTGTCTTTTGGGATGGATATTGAAACAGGTGCTTCTTCTCCATTTCCTCCTGTAGGTCACATAGGGAGCATGTTGGTTAAGTGTATACTCCTAATCTGTGAAGGTGCTTCGCCAAACAATCGTGTCCTGTTCGTGGTTTAAGTTCAGCAACGGCTTCGATTCATGGCCAGTCGGCTATGTCGGAGAGTGCCGATGTTCACTGTTTCTTCTTTGTTCGAGCTTTAAGATCGTTGCACCTTGAGGTCTTGATTTCTCTCCTGCTCTAGGTGTTTACTGATGGAATGATATCGACCGGTCTATGCCTAGCAAAATTGTAACTATATTTCCTTTAAATTAATCCCGACATTCAGAGTATTTTAAACTTCATTTCCCACTTTTAAATTAGTATTATTAAATTTTTTCTCACTATGAGAATATATATTGATATACAGAAATGTTTCTATGATATTCGAAATTCGCTCATTCGTTTCTACAAAATTTTAATGAAAGCCGGTTATACTTGATTCAAGGTTTCAGGAGGTTTCTAATTATGACAGGTGCTGGTTAAACGTAAAAATAACCGGTAGATAAGGTCGCACAAATGACCTTACGTTTGACATTTCAGGACACAGATCGTGGTACATTTATAGCCGGTGTTTCCAACCGTCTAAAATTTGTCATTCCTCTTCTAGCACACCAACGGCTTGTTGGTTCTTATCTTGCATTTACAACATTTTTTGATAGGATATCCAAAAGTTCACAAAGCAACCAAGACTGATGAAAGTAATTTCATTTATCATAAAAAATTCTGGAAGGTGAAACCGTGAGTACATAAGCCTTTCAGTCAGCCAACAATCAACAGTCTGCACGGTTAGCGTAGCTTAAGATGTACCATAATGTCTAAGATTTGCACCAACGTCCTATGATTAGAATAAACTCGAATCACTCCACACGCCCTGATTCCTCAAGACAGCTGAGTTTACTTAGAAAATTCGGTTTTGCATTCCAAAGCCATAGATTTTACCATAGAGGACTGTTGAAAGCTAATTACGTTTTGAGAAACATCAGCTGCAGTACCAACTTAACATTACAAGTTAATGACAATTTTATTTGCAAATAATTAGTTAATATTCAGAAGCTAAAAGTCAAAGGTAATAAAATAATTGGGCGCAAATATTCATTTGAAGAAATGTATCAATGAGAAGATGATGATCTCCCCTATAATGGTAAAATTTGTGTACAAACCACTCAATAGGGATAGATAAAAGTTGGTATTAATCCCATCGACAAATAGCAGGTTCGTACTTAATGCTTCGATGGACACAAATTTATGGTATTAAAGAACAATAAGTATTAGCCCATAATGAATAATAATAAGCTATCACGTCTTGCACATTAAATTGCCGAGATTACAAATAGAAAATAACAATGACTCTTATGCGTTTATTGTGGCGTTCTAATCTGATTTTAAAACGATATTATTGCACCAAATGTAAGTCGAAGTAAGTTCCAAGGTGTAAGATAAATACAACTTAACATGGATAAATTTCAGTTCTCTTTAATTATTTGCGATCATGTAAATATCTATACATATTATTATCTAACCTAAAATTTTATGAATAAATCAAAATTAAACAATTAGTAAAAGCTTATTTAACAGTCAAATTTGTTTGTAACCCACAGTTTCAGCGAACAGAATAACGCAAAACGTTGAAAATGGACCAGGGGAACGAAGTAAATTTGCACTAAATTTAACAAGATCTCAAGTTTTAATAATTTTTAAATTGGTTTTTTATGCGTATTTATTTAAATTTGATACTAAGTTTACACAATGGGCCATGGCTTTGTGCGCGCTTTTGTCCATCGACTTGCACCAATGGGCAATAAGTTAGGACATTATCAGAAAACAAAAGCGCCATTTCGACTTCACATTTTTCTCTTTTTTGATCTAGCGTACGTCTTCTAATTGGCCTTATTCCAAAGCTTAGCCTTTGACAACCCTGCATTATTTTATGCATGCCTCTGATTTAGGCAGCCACTATTGTTCATCTCTTTTGAGGTGTTTATACTACATCAAATGTTAATCTAATCTGGTGAATTATTCTAGGTAATGGTGGGCGGTTTGACACTACATATTTGCGTATCCGCTTTTAAATAACACTATTTAATGCATGATTTCCTCATGGTTCTCTCAACTATAACTTTGAATTTGCCTCTATTTAAAATTTCGTAAGATCTAAAACGTACATAGCATTCGTAATCAGTTATCTCTCTGCAAAATATGATAAAGATTCCGAGAATCTTGTGAATGAATTGGTTATTGGAAAAATATTTTTCGGACTTCGACTATGTATTTTTTATTTAGTCAAATAATGCCTGACCATTTACCTTCTCTACTAGAAAATCGACGATAACATGAATTCGCGACTTGCGAAATCTGGATGCGCTACCGTCCTAAAAGGCGTTGAACTTCTTAAAGAACCCTTCAGGAATAAGGTTAGTGGGGCGCCTTCTTAAAGTGCTTAATGTTGTATAAATTCTTCATCACATCCCACTTACTATTCGTGTTAATAATTAAATATCAGTTTTTATTGATTCGTTTGTCGATATTAGGTGAATTTGTTAAAGTACATATAGCTGAATAGAGATAATGGTAACGAAAATTTATTTTCGTCAGTCAAAATGTCGAGCTGTTCTTACAGTATTTAAGTTATTTTAATCTAATGGTAGGCGTTTTGATAGTTTTCATTAGCCCTTTAGTTGACTTCAGGCTCCACAGAGGGGAAGGAAAATCAAAGTGAAAAAAGTCGAGAGGGGGGTGGGGAACAGAAGTGTTTCAAAGATGTAAAAGAGATAGATAGGCTCAAAGGCAGAGAAAAGGTACGATGAGTACTGTGAAAGTGGTCGAATATGACATAAAGTGGGGTGATGGTAGTTTGAAGTCAGAAGTCAGCTGCCAGTTAGAAGACCTTTTTGCCGTATGAGTATACCTTGCCCAGGGTGCACCACGTGTAGGTAAGTCTATCGCGCACCCCTGTTCTTACAGTTTTACATTACGAAAACAGTCTTAACCTTTATTTAATCTTATTTATCTGATTGCATTAATAATTAAATCAGAATATTTGTCTTTATTTACTTGGCTATTGACAATCAGGGCATTATTTGATACTAAGACCTTTTGTATTGCACAATTTTTTCGTCTGAATGAGGCAATCAATTACAATTGCTAAGATTTAGATACATGTAAGTGAATAATGGATTGCGTCTATCATTGATGCAGTTAGCTAACTATGCCTTGTAGCGCCTATTTACTTAAATGGCCGTCGTATGAATATATGTTACTTTTTTATCAAGCATGCGAATGCGAAAAATAGGTTGCAATTTTCGTCATAGAATGGCATCTGAACTCCCAAAGCAAAATTATAATAGATGAAGGTGGATGTCTTGCATCATTCTATCCTTTTAAATTGGCCAACATTTATTGATAAGCTTAGGATTCCTTAATAGATGCTGTGTGAGCATTGTCTAAATGGATCTTTATCAATGACGATATCTGTTGAAATGGCATTCAGTCTGTTGGACATACGAAATATGGAAATGAAATAATATTCATAGAGTGGGAGGTATCGGCCATCCTGGAAGTATGGTCACGATCCTCCATCATGAGCGAGCGTCATGTTTTAGGGTATATATAATCTAGCTAATAGCCCCACTGGTCTCTCAGGTTTCTAATTAATGCTAGCTATTTAAAACGTGCTTTGTGATTTTCGTTACCCCTTTTTCTCTCATTTTAGGGTTTAAATTTCACCGAAGCTCAACGCCATGAGGAAAAGGTGAAGGGTTTACTTCCAGCTCTGGTAGATAAAAATGGCGCCTTCCTGGAAAATCTTAGCATGGAACGTCTTAAGCGCATTGCCTCCGATTTTGACAAATATGAGTATCTGATGCACATCTTTGACAACAATCGAGACCTTTTTTTCCGTCTCATGAACCTCCACACTATCGACCTGATGCCCTTGGTTTATACCCCCACTGTGGGAGCTGCTTGTCAAGAATATTCTCTTGTCTACCAACCCGGCAGGTATGTCCTGATAATCGGCTACTTAAATGCGTTTCAATTTATTTTTCAGAGGTTTGTTCATTCCTATCACCGAACATGCAAATATTCGTGAAATTCTGAAAAATTGGCCATATGTTAAGAAAATCCAGGTAAGAATTAGAGTTCCATTAGCTGCCAACTCCAAGTAGTATTGACTTAGTCATTTTCTCTTTTAGGCTATTGTGGTGACTGATGGTGAGCGTATTCTTGGTTTGGGTGATTTGGGATGCTTTGGCATGGGTATCCCAGTTGGTAAACTGGCTCTATATACTGGTCTTGCTGGTATTCCTAATGATGCTCTTCTTCCTGTCGTCTTGGATGTTGGTACTAATAATGAGGTGTGCTTGTTCTGCTTGTCTACTGAAATCACATTTAGATAGTTGAGGTTCTAATCATTCATTCTTTGTTTAGAAACTACTCTGTAGTCCCCTGTACTTCGGTCTTAAAAAAAAGCGTATTACTGGTGAAGACTACGATAGCTTTATCGATGAATTCGTTCGTGCTTGCGTTGATGTGTAAGTTTATCTCCCCATTTAACGAGGATATCAGCTCCACTAAGTCCGTTTATTTTTTGCCTATCGCAGTTCTCTTCTCACATAATATAACTTAAGATGTTTCCGCTTTCTCAGGCTTTGAAAGTAAAAATAAATTGGGATGACAAGACTGACCATCATAACTAAATAACCAGCCAGTTCGCACTGGTAAGTGTGAACCAGCTTTAGTCATGACACTTGAATTTAGAACATGAGCTGCCCATTCAATAATAAGTGATTTGTTACCCGAATGCAACAACTGGACGAAATGAGGCTCTTGTGGCCAGATTTATCTTGATACTTCGCTCCCACACTCCTTTCATTTGTGGAACTTATTAGTAACCAATTTCGTTTGCACTCAACGCAGTGAGAGATGGTGTATAGTTTTCTTGGGTTAATAACTACAGCATAATTATATAACATGTTTTGGATGATATATCCGTATTTATTATTTTTTTGGAGTCTCATCGTTTTAGTCCTCGCCAAATTACCTTTTTTTCCAAAAAACACCCCAAAGTAGCCCTCTTTCACTAAATTGTGTTGCTTTCTGAGTCAAATTTGTTCGAAATATTCTTCTTCATACTTATATTGCAACTATGAACACAATAATTTGGTTGAATTTTTCCTCTGGTATATTCGGTGTATTCGAATGGCACGATTTCAAAGTGCAGAATTATATTCCTTTCTGATCATTGCCTTTTTTGCTGGCTATTTTGTTAAAACTCCCTAAATCGTTCTGTTTTTTTCAGTTGCCTAATTGCCATTTGTTTAGAAATATCCAAATCGTGTAACAAATTCTAACCGATTGTGTCCTTTTTCGTGCATTTCTTGCTTAATATATCGATGTTTATTCATCTAATCGGAGTCTTTCTCACCTACTTTGAATTATCTGCTTTTTAAAGCAAATCAAGGGTCTGATGAACATAATAAATAGTTAAGCTTCCATATTTAGGTCCGCTTATTGATTGTTTTCTCTCATTTACAAGGGTCCTTATTGAAAAGTACAGTTTCTTCTGAATCTAAGGTAATTCCGCTTTACTTTCGCTCGTTCTAGTTTCGGCAAAGACGTTTTGATTCAATTTGAAGACTTTGGCAACCACAATGCCTTCCGTTTACTCAAAAAGTACCGCGAACAATACTGCACCTTTAATGACGACATTCAGGTATGTCTTATAGCGACCCCTTCTATTTTCTTTACCTGTTTCCCCACCACACCACAAAGCCATGGCCATTGAAGGTAGGCAAAAACGTCGAACTTTTCTCTCTGGCCGCACCCAATCATTGTTATGTCTTTTGTGCGTATCACATAAGTTATTAGATGGTGTTTACCGGAATACAAAAGTTGTCAGAGTGTTGGTGAGTTTATTAGCCTGGTGTGATGGGGGGGGGGGGTGATTAACTTTAAGTTGCTTGACTGTAATCACCTCTTGTTGATAGTTGTGATTGTGATGTTATTTAGTTGCGCTTCTCATGAAGGTAAGATCATGAAGAACAAATCAAACTAACCACTTTCCTTCGGGCATAGCACAATCACTTGATTCACCTAAGCGATTAGTGTCTGCCAACAGTACCCAATACATGCATAATAGGCCATAGGGTTAAGTTTCCTTGGGAGTTTGTTGGCAAAACGAATAGTAGGAATGGTTTTATCACAAAATTGGTCGCCGACCATTTTTGATTTCTCTCTCATGTGTGGCATAGGACCGAATCCTATTATTCGCTACTATCGTTGATTAAACAGGCCCTAATCATTATACTGGTCGGCACTTTCACGTAGATACCAAAATTTCATCTAAGGCTCTTTAAAATGTGTACCGATGCATCACATCACCATTCGAGGAGGTAGACTCATCTGAATACCATGATAAATTTAGTCCGCATGAATAGGCGTGTCCTTTTGACCACTTCCTATCCAAGCCATCTGTTATTCTGTATGTTTTGATTTTCGTTTTGTTCTCATCCGAAAAGAGCTAGTTTGTGCTTCAGTAAGATATTTCACTTTGCTCAGAAGTTTTCTTCCCTTCATCAGACGATGTTTTGTCAGAGCTTGTATTAGCTCGCAGTGTTGAAGGTATTTATTGAGTGTACAGTTCATGGTAGAGGCTGAAACATTCAAGTAACCGTCGTGTCAAAGCCGCTTCTTCTGCAGCAGATTGCCGGAATTCTACTCTGTGTGGTCTCGTAATCTACCTATTTTGATGTTCGGCACCAATTACCTCACGTTTCAGGCTTCTGTCTTCGTTGTTATCACCTATGAATAAAAATGGTTTAAATTTAGAGGCATTCTAGTGGTCATAGTCAATAGTATGAAACAATATCAATAAGGTGAAGAATTGTTCCGTCTATTGTGTTGTGAAATTGTAGGTTTTGAAGTAAAGCTTCGAAAATACTATCTAATTGGTAGTTATTTTCACTTGGTCATTATTAGTTGATAGAACTTGCGCTCACTTCTTCTGGCTACACTTAACGTGATTTTTCCTCACTTCATCAGGGAACTGCCTCCGTAATTCTCTCTGGTCTCCTCACCGCCAGTCGTATCACAAACCGTCAACTGAAAGACGAAAATATTGTATGTTACGGCGCCGGCGAATCAATGATCGGTTTTGTCAACCTCTTAGTTGAATGCTTCAAAACACGCTTCGGTTTGAATGAGGCTGAAGCCAAGAGCCGTATTTGGATGGTCGACTCTCGTGGTCTTATTGTTGAAGGCCGTTCTTCTGGCGGTATTACTGCCGAGAAGGCTCATTTCGCTAGACCCAAGGGCTCTGTTAATGAAATCAAGGAGCTCAAAGACGTATGTGTTACCGTTTTCTTTCCCCTGGAGTTAATACTTATTATTATCACAAATTTAATTTCATCCTCTTTCTCGCAGGTTATTATTACTTCCAACGCAACTGTTTTGATCGGTGCTTCTGCAGTATCCGGGGCCTTTACCGAAGACATTCTACAACTTATGGCAAAGCAATCTGACCGTCCACTTATCTTTGCTTTAAGCAATCCTACTCACAAGTCTGAGTGCACTGCTCAGGCTGCTTACTCCGCTACCAAAGTAATTTGAACTGCATTTTTTGTTGAGTATCTATTTGAATGGATGTGAGTTATTGAATAGGGGGGGGGGGGGGGGGGAGGAGGATGCTTTGGTGACGAATTGTGAATCAATAACTAGCTTATTTGAACCTGTGGAATTTTATTCTGGTTGTTTTACTCCTTCTATTTTCTGATTCCGAATGTGATAATAATTACGTGAACTATAGCTCTCGCCATGTTTCTAAATGAAATCGGTGAACTCTGTTTATATTCCGCCCCTGGAGCCTGGTTGGGCGACGTCTGGAAGAGACATAAATACTATCGATTTGAAACCCTGTTTACTTCCTTTCTTGTACTAAAAACACGAACTTTTATTTTAGGATTATTAGTTTTAATTGATATGGTTCGTCATCATATCCACCTGATATTCACAAATGTTTATCTTACTATTGCCGGACGCCCTTATCTATAATCACTATCTCCGATCGACCGCTTGGATTCTAGTAGCTCGTTCAGACTTACAGTTATATATAGTCGGGGTTTGCTAAATAACGATGGATATGACCTGGAAGAGAGATTCTGGTCAAAGTAGGAGTTATGTAGAATTTGTGATCCAGAACGAATTTTGATAACAAGTCTTTTGAGCTTCATTTAATTAATAGAATTGTTATCGATTTACCTTAGTCGTACTTTGTTTTCTCTTAGATTTCGAAACGGTATCATTAGGTATCGAATTCACCAACGCCTACATCGAATATGGATACTGCCAGTCGTTATTACTTTATGTTTGCAATTGTAGGAAGATTTAGACATCATGCTTAAATGTTTTTTATAGTTTCATTGTTTGCTACGTATCTATGTTTTGACCTTCATTTGTATGCATACAACTATCAGTGTATCGTATGGATGTTTTAGTATATTTTTGCCACTTTAACTGATGTGGTTTGGCTACTATCGTTTCTGGTAAATTTTTCTGGTTGGTTGGTTGATGTTACGAACATTTACTCCAACTTTTCGCTTAAATTTTCACGCTGATCTATTCCATTTGGTGGACTACTTTTCAGAGTAACATTTCCATTAATGAATACCTACTATTAATTACGAGTCTTCGCTGACCAAAAATGTTCATATCTGCTTTGTCTGACACTCTGAATTCACGAATTCAGAGCATTTGAGCGAGCCTTGTGACACATTGAAGTATATTCCACAAAGTTCAAAATTTCTTTTAGTATGTTAATTTAAAGGTTACATTCAATTTTCTCGTATTTACTTGTTTTAATTTCTTAACATGCCACTTTGTTTTCTCTCGTTTCTTTGTTTTAAATCCGTCGATCCAAATCAAATTCCCAGTAATAAATAAACGTAGAAAGCGACTTTGTTTACTTTTCACCAGTGACAAGAGGGTGGTACTATACGAGTGGTGAAGCTCCGTGTTAGCAAATAACTAAATTTATATTTCCAATTCTTCTGTGTTTTATAGGGAAAATGCATCTTCGCTAGTGGCAGTCCCTTCGATCCCGTCGATGGACATCGTCCTGGCCAGGCTAACAATTCTTACATTTTCCCTGGCCTCAGTCTCGGTATCATTGGTGCCAAGATTCAACCCGTAGCTGAGGAGGACTTCATAGTCGCTGCTGAGGTAAGTTATTTAGGTTTAGCGCCCTTCATTCAAGCGCGGTTAGACTATCGCCGATTGAGGGGTCTCAGGTTTAAGTGGTTAATACTGGGTTGGTAGAATTAGAGCTCATAGATGATTAACTACCTGCTCACAAAATATAGGTTTAAAATAGTAAGTGGTAATGGTAGATTGTATCGAAACTTAGTGGAGATAGAGAAAGGGAGCGAATAATCGTAGGGATGAAGATAATTAAAACTGCTTAAAAGTGGTGTGCCAATCTTCTTGGGAAAGCAGGGATATATATGCCCATCGACTGGGGGAGTCTAAGAAGGTGAAAATGCTCCCTAATGACTGAGTTTGCATAGAATTTTGATTAACATATCTACATTTTTTTCATGAAATGTAAATAAATAGATGAGAATTTATTTACCTTTTAGCTAACTAGTAGTTATTTAAACATATGTGTGCACTTGTCAACAAGTCAATTTGCATCATAAAAAATCCATTTAGTAAGTAAATTAGAGTTTATGGATGTGAAAGGTAGGTAGGGAATCGGAAGGTAAAAGCAGGATCAACCCAGATTACGAGGGGCGTAATTTTTAGTTTTAACGGTCCTGTAAGTCGATAAATGACTTCTAGATTCTCTAGCTTCTGTCACAGTGTCATAGAAATGCTTTTCATTCTCTGTTTTCAGACACTTTCCAAGAATGTGGAACAGTCAGATCTGGACGAAGGATGCATATTTCCCTCGTTGAAAAAGATTCGAAGCGTCTCTTATAAAATTGCTTGTGAGGTGGCCCGCAAGGCCTACACACAGGGTCGTGTCAGACTCACGGATGAGGAAGGCAACAAAATTCGCGAGGAGGACTTGGAAGCCGCCATTCTCAAGATGGCCAGCTACCCCGAACCACCAAAGTAGATACTGGTCTTTGAATGGCTTTTTTTCGCCTTCATCGTAGCCAGTAGATTTACTTTGCCTTTGTTTCAAAGGACTAATAGTTTCTTTAATACCTAGCTCTAACCCTTCGTTTAAATAGTAATTAATTTTCTTGATTATTTAGGCATCTTGTAGCCTTTCTGATTGTAATAATTATTGGCTTATCTGAAGCATATGCGCTTAACTAAGATAAATAGATAAATGAGAATTTACTAATTTGTCTATTTTGCTTCTTCCATTTTAAGATTATACAAACAATTTAGTATCTTATAATGGTATTCTACTTTCTAAACCCTTGAAATAAATAAATGAATAAAAGTGACAGTAGCAAATATCGTCGTTGAACATCCTGGCAATAAGCACCGATTGTAATGGAGTAGTGTTTTTTTTTAATCCCGGGGTAGTATAACGAGTGTTGAGTTTCACAACATTAATTACCCACCAAGCAAATAAAAAATTTAAGCGAAGCAAGACACTTTCGAAAGGCTTTCCACACCCCCCCCCTTTACCATTTATCAAGGTTACTCTTATTCGATTCCATCTGCTTTCCTATGGTAGACAATTGACTAATCTTTTGTCTTGCTTTGGTGCATGAGTAAACAAGAAAGGAGTCCTAATGCTTAAGGTGCTGAAGGGTAACTTGTGCAAGCTCTGACGAAGAAATATTCAATTAGCATTTCCATGTTTGAAACCGAATGCAAGTTACAGGCTCATTACTACCAAACCCTTAGGCGCTAGTATTTGAAACGAGGGAAATCGAATGGAGAACAGGCAGAGTTGTAAAAAGAATTTATTAACTGAAATTAATATTATATTAATCTTTTATTTTAAGCGAAATTGAATGTGATCTAGCGTTTATAACCGCTCTAATGAATTAGATCGAGGCTTAACAACTGCTTTCCCTTTATTTTAAGTGGTACCATTATTTTCATTACTGAATAATATCAGGACTTAAGTATATTTGGTCGTGATTAATGGTAATCTGCGTTTTTGAATTTCTCTTTAGAGATTGAGTTCAGTTTTAGTATTTGATTTTCCAACGTTAAAAAGTGGCAAAACTGGTACCTGTGGCCACGCGCAAAAAGTTTATTTCAAATATTTAACTAGTGGTCAAGACTATTTGTATTCCCGGCTGATTAAATTGAACGATTTTCCGTGCCCTACTTGTTCGTCAGTTTAAATTGAATCAATTCAATAGCATCCTGACAGCACCAAGATGAATAAACTTTTTTTGCTCTAAAAGGGCACTGGTACAGTACGTACTTAGAGTATATTAAGAGTACTCTATGTGAGTTTAGTAGGACAAAAGTAGCCCCAGTTAAAGCAATTTAGTCTTGGTTTCAATTCGTTTGTTCTAGTAACCTCCTGACTGATATAAATTCTAATTGAAAGGAAAGACGAAAGGGAATAGACCGGGGGAAGCATCCCCTACGGTCGACATTAGTTGAAGTGGATTAAATAAGAAGAAAAATGGAAGATTATAGATCCTTTGTCTTAGTTTGTTGTTTCTACCTAAAAAAAATAAACGTTCACATGTGTCATGTTCAGGATTGCTACAAGTTAGAAAGGAGCAGAACTTGTTGAGCAAAACAGAAAACAGTGAAGTAGAAAGAAAGTAAATTTTCTAAGTCTAAGACAAGTGAGGCTATGGAACACCCACATATATGCTACATTATTCGATTTTTATAATTACAAAATTCATTTATGGCAGAAATTGGAGGGCTGAAAGGAAGAGTAAATATGAAGTTTAGTGTTGTGGATGAAGGTAGGTGATGCTGCCTGGATGCAGGGAAAGCCGCCAATGGAAATGTGTGGAGTACACAACCCTAATGTGATTTAACTACACACCCGAATATTCTGGAGGATACGGTCGTGCTAGCAAAGGATTTCCATTAAGGTTCATTCAAGTTGCATCAAGTGTACTCAACTACTGATAATGCTCTCTATGAACATAATTTTCAATAACTGCTGCACGTCTACTTCTTCTATCCCACGCAGATAGTTTTGCTAATTTTGGGGTCCTATATAGACAGGGATGTTTTACCTCAGAGATTACTGAGGTTGTGTCAAGGCTTACTTGTTAGCAATCCTCTACAGATGTGTGTGATCACATTTCTTTGTAATTAGTTGCCATTTTAACACATGTTGTAGATGTTTTAAGTAAGCCGGTTTCCACTCCGAATCTGACACTGTGATAGGGCTACAGGATTGGAAATAATACTGGTATAATTGTAGTAGATGACCAATACATTGAAGTGTCAAGGGCTAATACGTCTATACTGATGTTAAATTTTCGTTATTACTGAGTCCTAGATTTCCCAAAGGCATTGAACTAATCTGAAAACTATTGAGGTGAACCTGTTTTAGGTATTAGATATTAATTTGATAAAAAGCTACTTACTGAACTTTAAAGCATTATGAAGCGTATGGGTCGTAACCTGACATCTAGTACATTAGAATATTTATTTATATCAAATGGCAGGCTTTATGATATTTATCATTAACCCTTTAGTTGACTTCAGGCTTCACATAGGGGAAGGAACATCAGATTGAAAAATTCGAGAGGGGGGGGGGGAACAGAAGAGTGTTTTAAAGATGGAAGAGACAGACACAGAGGTAGAACAAAGGTGAAGTGAGTACTGTGGAAATAGTCGAATATGGCATAGAGTGAGGTGATGGTAGTTTGAAGTGAGAAGTCAACTGCCAGTTAATAGACTTTTTTGCCGTATGAATATACGCTGCCCAGGGTGCACCACGTGGAGGTAAGTCTATCGCACACCCCACATTAGAACATAATGAAGTCGAAAAGACCTGTGGACCTTTAAGCTTATTGATGCAAGTTTGATTCAGTCGTATCTTCTCTCCGTTATGGGCAGGCAGGTAGAATATTGCTGAAACATTTTGGAATAAATATATAAAGGGTTAATTTATATCTGTAGCCTGACAAACCAGTCAACACGCACACAACAAATTTAAAAAATATTATTTTAGTCACCAATGAACAAAAGGCTTATTTTTATCTTTGCTATATGTATTTAACGGAAAGGATGGCTTTCACTTTCGAATTTGAATATTTTGCAAACTT